GGAGTGGCGCTGGTCCATGAAGTCTCTGACTGTTGGTTGAGCCGTGTGAGCAGATGTAGACTGCGTGGTTGGAGTCCTTGAGACAAAAGAAGTTAATGGTTGAGGACTTTCGGTGAAATGGCTCACAATCGGTCACAGTGACTCACATGTATTCACTCCTTGAAATCTTCTGAAGCTGGAATATTTGCACTAACCGTTATCTTTAGACTGTCTATTCACTCACAAAACCTTATCTACTTTGGTATCACTCTTTTTCTATCCACCTAGTCTTCGTATACAACTGTGAGCCGATGCACCTGAGTCAGGTTATACGTTGATTTCTCCAGTCACTCTATAAATATCACAAAGCTTTAGCTATTGCATGTAGGTGTGGGAGATGACCAGTGTGAGCGTCTATATTCCGAATCTCCAACCATCTCAGTTGATTGCTCTAACACAGCCCCAATCTTCGTTCACCTGAGTTGTGTTTTAAAGAGAGGTCAATGATCGCCAAACTGTTGATTCAGTTCTCGCACTAGTCTGTTCAGATGATGCTGTCGAAATCATATGACAATTGTTAACTTTTGGGTGTAGGTTACCAACTATCTCTATCGCTGTTTATACAACAGACTTTAAATCACGCCATATTTCCTCAGAATGAACAATCCTGTAACGTTCAGATAAATGCTTAGCAATCTCTTCCCTAAATTTTAACTTGACGTTTTCATCTTCCAATCGACTACACACAGTCTGTCTTCTCCAACCAGTAAGGAGTGCACATACACGAGCCAATACTAAAGCATGGTCGGAGGTCAAACTGACTCTCCAGAAGGAACGGCAATCCCCTACTGATCCTCTTCAACCGTGGCTTACAACAATATGATCTACCTCTGTCCATCGTCAGTTTCATGTCGGCGGACGCCATGTGAGACAGTGTCTCTCCTTATCCCTAAAGTTGGTGCTGGCCATAAACAAGTTGGAACAAAATTCCAACAGACGATCACCGTTGGCGGTTTGCTGGCATACGACTCCGTAAATACCTCCAAGGTGCCTTTATGATTTGCTCACTTCCCCTACTTGAATGTGAATGGCATCTGCTATCACGACTACATCTGAACCTTTGACATTCTGTAGCAAAATTGACAGCTTCTCATAGAACTCATCCTTCACATCATCCGACCTACAGTCAGTGCGTGCGTAGGCGGAGATTACGAATAGGCATTGCTTAGTCTCACGATCATTCCCAGTCTTCACACATATATTCAGTCGATCAGCACAAAGATGGCTGTTTACTGGCATCCACTCGACAAGCGCACTGTCTACCCTACAACTCAGTACAATGCATACACCAGCGAGGCCACGAGAAATGGCCAGTGGGTCTCCGGATACTCGTAGGGTGAATTTTCAAGATTCACTACTACCCAGAGCTTACGCCAATTTAATAACCACACTCGGGTCCCGTATACGTGTCTCAGAGACACGGCATACATCCTTGGCTAGAAATCCCAGAGTTCTGACGAGCGATGCTTGCTGCCCGGTTTCATATAGAGTTCGCACTTTGAAAGCTTCTACATGGAATCGATAGCGACGTCTTAGGAGACTAGAAATGGGATTTCGATGGCTTTGATCGTTGACAATGGTTGTAGAGTGAGAGGTTAGGAATGGTGTAAGAGGTCTAATATTAGTATCAGGAGGCGAAGGCGAAGGAGGAGACAGAGCTGATGAGGATAGGTTGTTTTATTGGTTAGTTTTAGTCTGAAATCGCTGCGTGCTTATTCAAACAATTAAAAGTGCACTGATACGGAATCTTTTATTGACTCAATATTTTATTCAATAAAGATCTCATTTCTGAAATTTTTGCTTGTTACTAGCTTTAAAGCTTATATCATACGGCAGGCTTACTAAAGTGATATATTACATACAGACATACATATACAAAGAAGGAAATCCCCGATGTTAACTTACTCATGTTGTGATCTCAGGCGGTGACTGCTTAGAGAAAGTGGGTCATATGTAGAGCCCGTGTGGTTAGATGCTTAGTGAATGAAATAAAAACCAGTGTTTACAATGCAGAAATTTATATTACAACAGTGAATATGCGAATGTTATTAATTTCGATAAATAACAAATATGTACATCAAAAAGTTTGACAACACGTTTGAGTAAATATGATTATAAAAAGAAATCTCCTCAATTTTATCTGTTAATTTGGTTGTTTAGGTTATCGCGCAGTCTTCTTACAGATAACTGAATCCTCAGCTAGCTGAGGGTGAAGATCCTTCATGGTGTAATAAAACTGAGCGAAAAGCCTATATTTCGTCATTGACGTTGAATGTTACGGTAATTCCATTTAGTAGTAACATTCGGTGCAGACCTCCTGTTTAGGATCACTGGTACCATGGAATAAGTAGTTGAGGACACTTGGTGAGACAGCTGAAAATCGGATAACAGCACAGATGTACTCATTCTTTGACGTCTTTCAAAGATTGAACACTTTCACCAGCCCTGATTTTCGAATTCTCCAACCTTCCATACGCCTTTGACCACCCTGATGTCATTATTGAAGTATTCCTGTTCCTGTAAACTTTGGCAACGAGAACCGACTCTCTTTTATGCGGGGACCTAAGAAAGTTTTTGCCCATCCATGTGTTCTGTCTGGTGATTCTCTGGTCCATCATCACAACTTAGATTTCGCTCTGCACGCTGTGATTGTAGGAAAAAACTGAAATAACTCTAACGGTATACTTTGATCACTGATACTCTAGTCAACTGAAAGTCTGAAACTACTGTTTGAATCTAGATTAGTGTGTGAAGAAATCGGGTCTTTTTTTAGGGGTACTAATGTCAAGATTTTACGACACCACAAAACATCCATTGGTCATATTTAAGCACATCAGAAGTGACAGTGTACAAGCTTGAATGCATATAAATACTACATACAGTAACGTCGAAGTGATAACGAGCGATTATTGAGAAATGTGGCAAGGAGAGCTTACAATATTGGATAGAAATACAGAGTGCAAGAACTGAGTGAAACGACATGTAGAACAAGAAATAGTTTGCAAATGGATAATCTATTGTTAGATATCGTAATTATCAGTTGTATTTTCTCAATAAACAAACCATTCTACTTGTCAGGCTTTTCCTGATGACAAATGGGTCTACGAATTGTGCTGAATTTCACAAAAACGTGAAATTCACTACTTTTAACCGCATTAGAATGACAACTTGAAACAATTACTGGCGTACATGCATTTCAATGAAATCGCTACGATTTAATATACCTTAATTATCATACAATCATGCACTCATTACGCAGCCAATGCTGTAGTAATTTAACTAACGCTGACACAACTCCGACGTCTTACAAAGGTGCTGAATTGTGAGCACGTCGCACGCTTTTAACAAATTATATAACTACAGCAAATGCGATTAGAGTGCAGATACACAATGGATCAAGTTATTCTCAAGTATCAAAATAAGGTGAAACAAATCGAGTCTTACAAAAATACAAATTAGACAGTACAAACGTTTTCTTAGTCACGTAACCATTTGGTAGAAAATAAACCTATTTAAATGTGATAATAATAAAGCGAATCAAACATGTTCTGCCAACTTAATACGCAGGAAGTTAGAATAAATCTACAACGCACTTTGACAAAACAATAAGAGATAAATTCTTTGGACCGTACGAAAACTTAGCGGTTGAAACGAACAATTCTAACAGATTTATAAGAATACGGACAAAGCGAGGGCGAGAATCTGAATTAATTGGCGTTCGAATGATGAGACGAAATGCACTCGACCACCTTGTGCACATCAGTGCAGTAGGCAGTGAGCCATGCCTGTGTGAGGGCTAGTGACACTACCTAGCTGCCCAAACCTCGATAGGTGGAGTGCGGTTTGAACACATGACCGACTGATTGGCAGTCATCGTGAAACTGAAATCCAGTATAGATGTAGCCAGAAAAGTCATATATTACGGATCACCTAGAACTACTGAATAAACCTGCTAAGCTATTCAACTGTCTATCATTTTCCAGCTGTCATTCAAATGGAAGACATACTACAGTTTTTTCGTTTCTAGGTGTTCCGCTGCTTCCGTGTTGAAAGCTATGTGGAGTGCTTTACTAGGCCACTTAAGGGATATGTTGCTGAGCTAACAGCTTCCACGTTTGGGAAACTGATATACAAAATCTATGAGAGGCTCGACGTCATCTGGCTGCTAATGGTCACTTAGTGGATAAGATTCAACCTTCCGAATGGCATACAAATTCATCTTTTACAATTGAGGAACCTACGGGAATTCGAGATAATAATACTAGCTTTTGCATCCAGAAGACGTTGTTTGTCTCTCCCACAACCAAGGAAGACTTAATAAACAGCTTTATCACAGGTTTTTCTCTTCATTTTTTTCTCCTTCTCACCTTTGCCGTACCTAACATAATGGTTAAGACACTATTTATCCACTCACTTCATCCTTAATATTACGCAACTTGTATCATGTTGTATGAGATGTTCGTGCATTATTACTGTTATTAGCACCAACTGTATGAATAATGAAGACTATTAAAACGGATCACTTAGAGTACAGTACATTATTGAATCGCAATTCATGAAATGATGCGATTATGTCAATACTAAATGAAGTTAAACTGATTTGGTTTCGGGATCGCCTAGATATTTTCTGAAACAATACTTATTTATAAGTTTATTAATTACTGTTTACGGGCCATGAGTAGTAGTTCATTTCCCCACCCCTTTTCATCAAGATAATTCCCTGATTGATGGACGCTTGCTATTGTTGATGTTTAAAATTCTGGACAAGGTCAAGTACCATGTTTCGGGTTATTTCCGATCATCCCGAAGGAAATAAACTCTCTCACCTAGAAGTCTTCTTTATCTGTTTTCGTTTGGGACATTTAAGTCAGTGGTATCTAGTGTACGAATTAGTTGGTAGTTGGAAGCGTGTACTAAATAGTGCGCAGGAACATAACATAGACAATATAGAATACGTTGGCAGCACAATTTAAAAGTGATATTGTTAAATGCTACTATTTAAATGTTTGACTAGCTTAAAAACAACCTATCTAAACAAGGACGTATACAAATATGAAGAAGAGGAAGAAATAAAAGAAAATTTAAGCTGTTCATTGTTTGAGAACAAAAGTATATACAGGAGTGAATGGAAGCACTGTGTTCTTAAACTATATACATTATATTAGAGAATACATCACAAAATTAAAGTGTTTTTGAAACAAGTTATACACTCAATGATGAAGTGAGTGAATTAAGTCAGATATATACGATGATAGTCATTGGCACCGAAGGTAGCGTTGCATTTGGGACATTTACGATTACGTGTTTCATAACGAACTTTTAAACAGTTCAAACAGAACACATGAAAACATTTCGTCAAGATGGCATCTTTTCGATTGATTTTGCATGTTGGACAGGTTAGCTGTTCCTATAATATCAACAATAAAATTAGGCGTTGCTTAGTGCGATAAATCATCTTGATATGAAAAATGTTACGAAAATGAAATAATAGAAGTAAGTACAATGTTGGATAAATAAAATATACGCTACATAACAATGATAAAATTATAACAGATATAAAGTGATATGAAGGAAATAACGCTAATAATGAAAACACAACAGCAGCATCATTGTCACATTTTCAGATGCCTATTCATGAACAAAGCAATGAGTAGTATTTTTACTATAAGCCGGTAGTTTGCAATAATAACCAAACTGATAAAATTGGTATCCAACAGTCATATCATTTTGAGATCCAAAGGTATTAGAAGTTGCAGTGTATACATAAGGTAAGTCAATGAAATACGATTTAAAAATTCCTAACAATAAGAAACAATAAACCATATTGGATAAGTATATCAGCATACCTTATAATCTTGAATTTCAGCCAATAAGAATTCGTCAGCATTATGAGACTGTTCAATCTTGCGTAAACGTTCATATTTCCTGCGCACAGTCACAAGTTCTTCCTAAAAAAGCACGACATGTGCGATTAGTAAGTATATGTACAGAAAAAAAAACACTGAATAGGAAACATATTGTTTCGGTTTGAAAAAGAAATAGAAATGAGACCAGAAAACAAAAATCCGTATCGCCAAGGAAAATGAAACTATTATGTTAGGGAACAAGTAGTCCTTGTGAGCAGCTTAGATATTATCTATAAACTCGTCATCACATTTATTCGATGTTACTAGTCTAACTATTAATGAGAAACTTATATTTGCGACGTGTGCCCTGGTTTTCTTTCCTCAGTTATTGTTGTCATCTGATTGGTCGAGGTAATGAGTTGGCAGTCAGAGGCACTGAACTTGTCATTTTCACCCATTGTAGCTAGTGCGGTGTGCTGTTAAGTACCCTCGAATGTAAGTATACGAACTGCTTTATTAACTATTATGTAATATAGGACCACTAAATGCTGTTACGAGAAAATCAGACAATCTTGTGCTTTCTCACGATCCTCGGGTGTACTTACGCAGGTGAATCTGAGTCATACCACACTATTAACAATTGTAAGGAGGTGAGTTCTTATATGATCAGCGCAGGTCAGAAGCATTCATAATGGGGCAAATGAAACGCCGTTGTAAGACACAAGAGCACTGAAGATACACCTGCAAGCAGTTATATATATATATATATATATATATATATATATATATATATATATATATATATATATATATATATATATATATATGAATGCCGTCAAAATCAGTATGACCATCTATACACATTCGGAACACATTTAGTTTCACTTCTTATGCATTTGTTTATTGCTGGTTGACATTATAATTTTAGTGCACTTTTAGTTTTTTTTGGGACCCATCAGCAAAATGCTCCCACATTAACTATGACTTTAACCCAGTAACTTCGCACTCCATAACGATATTCGCTTGATGCGATCCTGGAGAATCTGTTAAAAAGAACTTATTAACTGATAGAGAGAGAGAGACAGACAGACAGACAGAGAGAATTACACGTATAGACGTGTACCAAGTGACACTCATTGAACAAATAGGACAGAACTGACATTTTGTTCTTCAATGATAACCAGTAGTAATTATATAATGTTAAGTGATTCTCATAAATTATCAGGCACCTGATGAATGTAACGAAAACATTTAGTTTGAATACTGAAAATAAATTGATAAAACGGTAACACTCTTCACGTAAAATATAAACTGATACAACTGTGTCCATGATTAAATGCGTTGACCTAATTGCGAACTCTACATGAAAGTATAGAACCGATTCAAGGAACGGATGTGATTAAGAGCTTTAGCACAAAATAACTAACTTGTAGACGTTGATGACCAAAAGAAACACGTTCAAATGCGGAAGCTTTCTCTTGAACCGTGGTCTGGGCATCTTTCAGTTGACTCTGATACTTCTGAACAGTGACCCTTAGATCTTCAGAAACCTGCTGACTTTCCAAAGCCTTACGCTTATAAGCTTCTTGAGACTTTTGTCTGGCGGACGCTTCCTTCTCTAGAGTTGCCAAATTTGTTAACAGTAAACGTTCCTATAAGAAAGGGTAGAATAGTAAACATTACGACAATTTCAATATATTCTTAGGACTGCACACATCAAGCACAGAGTTACTACATATCAAGGTGATAAAATATTTAATATTCAACAAATTTTATACATTCTCCGTGACATAACCACATAACAAAACACAATTAGCTACCTAAATCGTTGGATGACAATTATTTATCTTCTCAACAAGCTATTTTCAGTGTTCCAATCAATCAAATAGAAAATGCGATTACTGAAACAATTCGCATAACTGGTACATCCGCTGGGATAGTATACACTCGGTAATTTCTCTAGCATCCAAAACAATACAACTGACAACTTTCTCCTTGACTTCGCCTACTTTCAAATGAACCAAAAACAGCTTAGGTTAGCACTAAGTAAGGAAGTAAAATTGTGGTGCAAAACTTGGATTAAAATGAATTAACAATGCTCTAGAGGGAAAATAAGTAGTTAATCGTTCCTTCACTAGTACAGCCGTTATACATGACTGGCTATGAATAAGTGTATATCTTAACCGAAACTATTTTCAAAACAGCACATATAAATGACCATTATTTGCTTAAGAACAGTCAGATTGAGCTCTACGGATTACTGACTTATGATTAATTACACTAAATTATTAAAGAAATTCAAAACTGCTCACAATTCTCAATGTTTAGTCATTATTTGTATCTATCTATAATGTTTACAAGTTGATAACTAAGTACAACTTAGTAGATTAGGCTGAAGACCACGTTCATCGTATGAGTTAGTGATGTCCGAGGTTTGAATGAAAGTTTGTTACAGTCAAATGCTTAGACAGTTAACAGTTCCGAAAACTGAAAAGCCATGTGGAATGGGAATGTTTTCCAACAAGTTTAATAAAATCATGCCATTGAAATGATGAGAAACCAACTGCAAAGATGCAACTCATGTAGTCAAATTAATATATATAAAATGTTAATTTGACTTGAGCTCATAGGTAAAAAGACAATGAAGAGTAAATCTATATATTACCATAAGATGTCTGTGCGTTGATGACAAAATATTAGTTGTATACATCAAGATTACTGAATTAAATGAGACAATCCAAACTCACTTTTTCTTCCTGCTTAAGAACTGCTCTGTTTAGTGCTTCAATCTTTGCTTGCATCAAGCGTATTTGCTCTTCCAAAAGTTGTTTGTCCTCCTTCAGTAAACGAGCAAGCTGAGCAGTCTTCATTCGTTCTGCCATTAACTTCAAATGCGCGTCATCTTTTTCTCTTAGTGTTTTAACAAGACGAACATTCTGCTCCTGTACATCTTCAAAAGCCTGAACAGTGATCTTTTTTGGAATTAAAAGAGTAAAATACAGATTTCATTGATGAACGAATAACTACGAAGTGAAACAGACGTTTCCTGTAATGATGCAGAGTTGTGAGAAAGAACGAAAGTACTGAGGTTATTCAACCCGAGTGATTCGTAAAAAGAAACCGAAAATCTGCAATTCAGATGAGTTTATAGTATCTCGGACTGAAAACGTTTATTAATGAAAACGGACAGTGTTTACCGAATTTACAGTAACCTTGAAAGGCAAGCAATAATTAGTACATTTAAAGAGACAGGAGCCAATCAGAACGCTAGTGGATCATACGAAATATCACCCATGCGCGGGAAAAAGAGCACAAAGTAAAACAGTTAAAATGTACCCAAACTGGTAAGTATAGAATCTACGAGATAAAAGCATCCCTAACATTTTCCTTTACTGCGAAGAAATTTTTTAATGAGCTTATACATGAATATAGCAGACTGTTTTCTGAAGTAACTGAGGAATTGTAGGGTGAAAAAAGCTTAGTATTTAGTTTCCTAAGTAGTTCTGCATTAGTTCTCCTACTTCAATTAAGTCATTTCACTGTAAACTTTAATGAGCATATTTTGATACAAAATGCATAAAGTAGAGGACAAATAATAGTTTAACATACAGCTTACTTCCATTTCTTTAAGTACTACATCTTCTTGTTGCTTTGCATCCGCAAGCCTCTGTTGATGCAGTTTTAACTGTTCTTCAGTGGATTGACTTTTACGTCGAACGAGATATAGTTCCATTTGTAGCTCTGATATTTGCCAATCAGAAGCAGCAAGTTTGGATTTTGCACAAGAACCGATAGACATATTAGTACTTTTCTCATCTGGAGAAACTTTGGATGGCTTAGGAGATGGAGGGATACTTCCAACACTAGTTAATCCACGTTCAGCAGGAGACATTTTTGGAGTAGTTTCGTTTGGAGACAACAGTACTGGTTTTCGATGTTGCTGTATCTTTACCTGTTGTGCTTGAAACTCTCGGATCGTACTGTGAAGTTTATCAATCTCATTTCTGGCATCAGAAAGCTCAGCACGAAGTTTCGCTTCACACTGAAGAAGAGCCGCTTTATCTCTTTGATCCTTAGGAATTACTTTATACATATTGAGAAGTACGGACATTTCCTTCTGTGATTCTTGTGAACGCCTAAGATAAAAAGGATACTTGAGAATCTGCTCTAAACACGATAATGAAAAGTGGAAATTGTTCACAAAAGCTTACTTCAATTGTTCTTTTAAATCGCGAATAAGTTCACTAGATGGTGATGAACATGAGATATTTGTTCGAGCCTCAGAAACACATTCCTACCAAAAAAGTAAAATATATACTTGTTTTTAAACTAAGGTGGATTAAAAAACGAGATGAACAATGAATATAACTAACAAGAATAAGAGAATTTATCAATTTCTACAAAGGATAATACCTCATGCTGTAACAGTGTAAAACAAGTATTTCAATAAGTTAATCAATATCACTGCTCAGATGATAGACTATAGATGTATGTTTGTCAAAATACAGCATTTGATCCGGTTATGATTGATGCAAACACAAGCGACACGCCAATCAATAACTCAATCAGATGATGAAAATTCCAGGAGAACTGACAAAGTCAAACAAAGAATGAGATAATTTGTTGTCTTCAGATAATTCAGATAAAAATCGACTTAGACAACCAATTTAGCCCTTAAACAGTACCAACATAATAAAATTAAGTTTCAGTAATATAGTGATAGAAAAAAGTGCTATCAAACAGCAGACAGGAAAAATCATATTTGAAGAAGTCTTACAGGAAATAATGCTTAGTTCTAATTCACACTCACGGTTTTGAAACTTTTTTCACTCAGTGTCACATTAGTGTTGGAGCTTGAACTAAACACTGTTGAACGTGCAGCAGACGAACTTGGAGAACCATATTTCTGGTGATTACCTTCTTCTAGCTTCACTGACGTTGACATTTTTGACTTAACCTCGGAATCACCAGCTGGCGAAGCAACCTGAAAAGTGTGGAAGTGTACATTGCATAGTACAAAAAACCATAATATACTGTTAAATGAATACTTTATGAGATATGAATGAAAATGACGTTTTATATGTAGATGAAAAGCTAGTAGTGCAACTTTTTGTCACTAAATGTCATGCAATTTATTTATCACTCAGCTCTGCTGCTTAAGATGTGAATCCATGCACTTATAGTTTCGACATCATAGTGCAGATTATACGAATCAAGAAAACCAAAAATACAAAATGCACACAGTAGAAAGGAGGTTGACATATTTGTGACTAACTGAATGACCGAAGATTGTAGTAATATTAGTGCTGGGAAGAAGAAAGTGAAAGCGACCGCATAAACTGTGGGGAGATCTGTTTGAAAGAAATATCTTTATAAATTCGGAACTAACCAACTACCATATAATTTATCTGGGCATTATAGTCTTCTTTTTTCGTATTAAATAAAAATGAAGTAATCTTGCGCACCACCAGAAAAAGAGAATGTTAAACGAAAAACCACCATCAAGTATTTACATATAACATATTGCTTAAATAAAAATGTTTTTGAAGGAATTGTATAAAACTACCTACATCTGGTATGGATGGATTTGAAGCCTGAGGTACACTTGAACTTTGAGGAGTTGACGGTGTCGACCGGTATGACTTTTCGCTAGCAGCGATAACAGCTGCAGTGGCTTCTGAAAGTGCAGTACGAACGTGAGCCAACTCATCTTCTGTGCATTTTAAATCAGCGCGTATCTGAGGGCATAAAATACGGTGTTGAACTAGAATAACATAATGACAGGACAAGTCTAGTGCATGGAAATAACCTACACATAAAAACTGAATTTTCGTCTTCAACCTTTCAGTAGAGGTAAATTGTTCAATGAACATAGAAATTATGGCTTCAGTTCCTAACAGTGTGGTTATATAAATATACTACTCTGCCATACTGTCAATGAACTTATTGACATCATAGGCAATTAGTGAGTTTTAAACATCGCAAGTGCATTTCGTACTTGAGCATACTGGACGATGAAACACCTCGGATATCGACAAACGGAGGTAATATGAGCACAGTCAGTAGTATCGGTACACAGCAAACTCATTAGGTGACACTAAATTTCATGATTTTTTCCGATTGGTCAAATTCCAACTGCTGAGTGACACCATAGTTCGCTTTCCCCTAGTTGTTTCTTGGGCCTGAAAAGCTCAGTAAATTCCATGCCTCTTCTACATGTCGAACATAAAAATACTGACTTTATAGCATTCTATAAAAATTGGGGCTAAAAAGTTAACACTGAAATATGGATGATTGATGAAGAGACTACATACTGAATGCTGTGATTTATAAATAATATTGCTTCTATCTTCAGTTGAACCTGAAGTTTAATGATGGATCATACTTATTAATCAGCAGGTGGCTGGTGTGCATATATACATATTAAGTAAACTAAGCCTGATAATTAAATAACGTTTGCTAGTAACAGAACATAAGATGATCAAGTAGGGCGAAATACAGTACGAATTGAATAATCAGAATTAAAGGGTGAAACTAAATGAAAACTAACCATTTCACGCTCCTGTATAGTTTCCTCACATTTGCGACGATATCGAGCAACCTCAGCTTTTAGTTGCTTGTTTTGTGTTTGTAGTGTAGAAATTAGGCTCCGCATTTCGCAGCTGATAGGACCTGCTTGTTCGTTATGAGTCAAAGCTTGTTTGAAATCAAGTTCCATGGTTTCATACTTGTGCCTCAATTGAGAATATTGTCCTTCTATTAAAAGCATTTCAGAACGCATTTGATTTTGTATCGCTGCTTCATTCGCCTAACACGAGTGAAAAAATAAGTACGTCTATCACGTAAAACAATGATAAAAACTAGCTACTACGAGGAGCATCAAAACCTATGTCAAAATATTCAGAAAAATATATAAAATTAGTTAAACAGTGACAAACTATTCAATTCTTTGCTCGCTGATCATAATAGCACGCTTTAACTTTTTTCTATCAGGACACGTTTGTTATACTTAATACATGTACGAGGATCTCTTTATTTCATTGTTACTTCTACATGAAACTAGTCCAGTATTGTAGGTTCTGCACCGATGGGAAGATGCAACTAGAAAAAACAAACTGTAATCTCGCTACAAAATAAGTAAACGTTAATTACCATACACGTAGACATAACGACATCATTTAACGAAGGTTACAGATGCATAGAACGAAGTTCATATCAAAAAAAAACTCAAATATCATTATATCATTAAATATGAAAATAGACAGAAATATACTAGACAAATGGTAGGTATTTCACCTGTTCTTCACTATGGTTGATGAGGTGGTGGAGTAGAGGTGACTGACAAAATAATACGAAAGATCGACGTAACGAGACACTTGGACGAATTAGAGACTGTTCTTCGTCAGATCTGATACTTCCCTGAGCCGCGAAAATCAGAAGACAAAGACCGGTCTATGACTGCACGGAGGATAACTTTATTTGACAAAAGCACATCATTTACATACAGCTTTTCCCCAGAAAAAAGCCACTACGCCAGAAGTTGGATACTTCTTTTGACTGGACAGCTGAAGGACAAAATTTTCCGATACGATTTTCCCTGCCCACACACTAACAAGAAAGAAGGCTGAAATCCAGAACTTTTACCCAAGTGGGTTATGACTCAGAATGTTGATTTCAATTTAGGCCGCTTCCTATCGGTCGACGACCTTTATTTTAGTTGTCATCCATTGGAATTGACTACTTTTTGTTACGTGATAATCCTGATTGAAAAAGAAATCGGAAATCTATGAACATACAAAAACCTGCTCGAAAAATGAATTCCAGACACTATTCAGTAAAGCTGAAGAATGACTTCGTTTCGTTTGTATATTCTCAGTAGTAGCTATCATGGTAATGTAGGAGTGGAATTTGAATACTATGGCTTATTTTAAGTTTTTAAGTTCAGTTTACCATATATCAAACAACTTTCAAGCAGCAGTAGAATGCGTCAGTACACACTGTTTAGGAGACGAAATACATAAAACTAAAAAACTTATGTGCATCCGAAATAAAATTCACCACTTAAATGAAAACTCGTGAAGATAGCAAGTTGTAGAGTGTGAATAACTAAGTGAAACATAGAATAAAGCGAAACTAGACTCTTCCAATCAATCCAGAAATAGCCAAAACGAAAAGTTCGATAAATTCATGGAAGAAAAACGTCCCTATGAGAAAAAGATAAAACCGACATAGAACCTAGCACAAGAGTGCAATCGTTCAACTTGCATTACTGCACAGCAATACACAAGTGGCTGGGGAAAAAACGAAATTTCAAATGAAATACCATCGAACATTTAGCTAGGATGAAACAAATGCACTCGGCAATTTCAGTTTTTTACGATTTATTTATAAAAAGAAGCAGCCTGATTCCTATTTCATTTCACTAGCCATTTGAGTAATTAACTTACGGAAAAACAAAAAACCATCACCTTTTTGTAAATGATCACTGAAAACAAGACCAATCACAAATTCCTTGTCATAATTCGCTATCGTTATTTATACACACTCAGAAGTCTAGGAGACGCTTTATGATACTATCTGGCTACCCAGATCGAAGCACGTCAAATAGAGCTCCAGCCAGAGGTCTATTGCGTTGAAAGTCAAGCTAATAAATTACAGATCTAAATCTTACATATGTATATACCAAGAAGTATCAAAAAGCACATTTGCATACCTCCATTTCTTCAATTTGTTTCAAATGACTGTGTCTGTTATTCTGAATAGTACTTCTGGCTTCTTCTAGCTGGCTTCTTAGCTGTATGGCTTCATTGTATAGAATGTTGAATTGTGTTTTCAAAGAAACGTACTGTGGAGATTCTAGAATTATGCTCTCTGGAATATCTCGCAACTATGCAGAAAAAGATATAATGGAAGTAAGCTGTGTTAATTAACACCTAAATTGATATAATATAAATTGAAAACATATATTCCTCAATTTAGATACTCACGAATCAATCCTAGCGACATGAGTAGCTGAAAATAGTTATTCATCTTAGCATAAACATATACTACACTAAAAGAAATCGAACCACAGAATCTACTTCAATTTTCTATAAACAAAACATACATTGAAGTAAACAACAATACCTATCAAACAGGAAAATAAACACTGGGTCCGAGTCCGACTCAGAAGTGTGCCATTTCAGGTTCACTTTCACAGCAGGTTTTAAAAAGCGGATAGAAACAGAATTACATAGAAGCAGACAAAAAATTATAGAAGGAAACAAAGTCCCAGTTATTGAAAACATTTAAAGTTTCCAATATAACACAAGACATTGTGGCCTATACTAAGGCATTATGATCAAGCCTCTCGATCAATGAGATTAGTACCATATCTCCATTCAGCTATCTGTAGCTTTCTCATGACCCAATTCTACTTTCGAAATAGGTGGTTGTTCAACATATGCAATATATATCCATGCTAACTCGTTCGATTAAAGTTGACTGACTTTCCTTCCTCATTTAATACTTTTTTTATACTAACGTTGCTTGCATAATGGTTGTGTAATTATGATAACCTGAGTGAGTGAATTTTAATGTACTGATGTCAAGCTTAAATGTACGTTATTCTAGCCGTCAAACTGTCTACCTTAGATCACTAATTTTGTGCGAATGACTCACTCTGATCGACCACTGGTTATTTGCAGATTAAACTGAATAAAATCAAAACATCGAGCAGCAACCTGCTGGTCATATGCTTCTAACAGTATTTAGACTTGACAACCAGAGAAGAATGAGAAAAACATTGATGAATTAAACTAGTAAAAGAGATTTCATCCTATCATTAAATTACGAATAGTCAGTCACAGATAATATGCAAATTAGCAGTCAAACAAAAACTTTTCCGAATGACAGTATGACGTTAATGTTATCCGCTCTAACCACACAAGCATTGGTAAGACACTAATGGTCAAAACACTGCAGACTTTCCATATATTTTACTTTCAATAGTCAAACGTAATTTACACCTAAAACCTATAGCAGACTGCTAAGTGGCAAAATCGTCATTTGATATGTATTTTGATGCCCTGGGTCCAGAAATGACACCTGCGAGCAAACGCAAGATGAGTACTTTGCATCTCAGCTCCAAATTCCTGAGCAACCAGCCAGTCAGCGTAAAAAACACATGTCAAACATGAACCATTATGGCTCGAGACGTGCATCTTGTTAGCGCTTCCCCTTAACGGGATTACGTCGTCAGTGTACTTCACGCCAGTCGAGTGCTTCGACGGGTGTAGATAAATCTCTGAAATGTCCAAAGTGCACAAGGTCACGCCCATCAACGCAATATGCACAAAATATGATTGTCAGTCAGTCACGGTATTGCAAAGATTTAACGAAAGGAAGACAGTTCAAAATCACCTCAACAAAAAACGACTACACAGAAAAATGAAAATAAACAACTGACTTGCATACTAAGTGAGGCGCATTCAGCAACTTTGTCTTCTAGATAACGCTGAAGACGTTCCAGTTCGCTGGTACGGTTATTTGCAAGTTCACGGTACTCCTCCAGTTCACAAGCTAGATCATTATACTTGTTTTTTGTAACTGATCCACCGGTATTAGAATGATCTTCACGACCTAATAAAAAGATAAGCATCAAAACACTATAAGTAAACAGTACGAGATAAAAATTCATTTAGGAGAAATCAGATGGTGTCGAAGTTGGTTGGAAAGCTACTATATCAGACTACAACCTAAATTTAAATGATCAAAACTGAAAAAGTACGAAAACACACCAACGAAGAAATCTAACACAAACCTAGTTTTTACAAGGCACTCGCATCCACTCGAAATTAAAATAAGTTTATGAAGAAGCACCATTTATCAGAAATGCGTAACATAAAGAAGTATGATCATAGAGAAAAAGAAGATGCCTTTGACATTTTTAAACTAGTGATGCTATTGCTGCTATGAATAGCAAAACCTTTAAACGACCTAAATCTATTTCTTCACGGTAAAGTATTTCGACTTGAATATCCTTGTTTCCGTTGATGTAAAAGTCAACTTTATAGTTCACTCGAGTTCAAGCTACTACATCACACTAACATTACAGAAAAACCAAAAGCAATTTATTGAAGGGAACGGAAAAATATGAAGAAACAAAAGCCAAAAGGATATGTATTGTGCATTAGAGCGTGGTGTTATAGATAGATAGATAGATGTCTCAGTATACCATGGGAACGCGTCCGGAATATGCATAACACATCTCTATTAACGCCGTACTTTAGCAAACAATGCTAGTTTCAGGCTAGATATATAACAAAAGAGGACAATTTCAACGAGGAGAATTTTCATTCCAACGATGTCACTTACTAGAACTGGACAATCGTATTTGAAAGCAATGAAAGCAATTACCACTATTACTAATCAATGGGGTCACCTGAGTATAATGTTCAGGAGTAGAATGAAAATTGTTGCTAAATAGTGAAGAAATTTACGTCGTAATGCATAACACGCGACTAGTTGGATAGTACTAGCGAGGATAAAATCCATGACATGAAATTTTGAAATCATAACAAGTACCTGGGGAATCTGAACATTTGAGAGTTGCCAACTCAACTTCCATTTTCTTGTTTTGTTCTTGTGCTTCATACAAACGATGATCCAAACGAGTTACCTGTTTCATTGCTTCTGCGAGTTTATAGTCCAAATCTTCATACTTTGCTTGCCATTCTGCTGCAGCATCACTATTAGTTTGGGCTAAATCTTGCAATTCACGTAGCTATAACATGATAACAGTTATAATTCAATAGCGTTACGTTAAACGAGTATAATCAAACTTTGTAGCGTGCAAATGATAGTCATGATTGACATTTTATCTTAACCATATCAACCAGTGGTATAAAATGCAAAAAAAGAATACATTACTGCCTCAGAAAGGATTAACAATTTTCGTAAGTGATAAGCAAGACTTGATCATAAAAAAATTAAAGTGAAACTACTGTCTTACCAACATTACACGACAATATTACTACTGTAGCAAATTAATTTTTCAAAGAATGAAGAAACCTAATTGATTACTTTTGTAGCTGTTAGGGTGGCCTTCGTAGTTATTCCGTAAAATCGTTGTTCTAACAAAAGTGGAAATGCTACATATATCTAACTTTAAACATTGGTCGGCGAATTAATTGTTGAAAGAGATACAAACTTATGATGCCACAGTATGATCTTTTTCTCAATTATTTCAGTAATTTGCAGATCAGTTGATAGGTAAGTTAGGGAAAAGCATCCCAAAAGGACGTGTAGCAACTTGGACTGATATTGAAGTATCAATATAAAATATTTTCTTGCCTAGTTTTAGACACTATTCTCACACTATCAGATTCAAGAATATTCAAAACTTATATCTCGAAGTATATTTTGGTGAATGGTCATGATGGCGGATACTTGAAATCGTCAGTTCACTCATCAGTTCAAGACTGTTTACTGTCGTCTAGTCTTCATTAAAAACGAACGATTAAGAAAAAATCTGAAATGCCTACAATCAACTACTTGTTATATAATCTGATTGTCGAGGTGAATTCAGCAGCCTCAGTTTCGTCTAACCTTTATACACCTAAAGATTTTTTTCTTTTCAACCAACTTACTGCATTTTGTTACGAAACGCATCAATCACTCCTATATCCCCTACAGTTAATTTAGATATCGTGATTTAAACCAGAGCAAAAAGCTGTAGATTATTAATAATATTTCCACATATACATTGACTCGCGTATAACCAATAACTCTTGACTAAAATCGACAACGATTAGGTGTACAGCGGAAACCCAATGAGAAAATTTTTTGTGAAGCAAAATAAAAACTCGTACATACACGAAGACTGCTTTGTCTGTGTTTGGAATGTAGATTAGTACAAAGAGTCTGAAGACGACAATTTTCTTTGTTCAAAAGGGATATTTCCTCTTGTAACTCTTTCACATTAAGTTTATTACAAGCAGAAGCAGATTCTTGAGATGAAGTTGGATGACTACTGCAGTCAGGTTCAGAAGGTTCAACATTGTGTACATTTAAGGGAACCGATGAACCAGAATGTGTCTGTGTGCTATGAGTTTCAGGTGTTGTAGAAGTGGATCCACCCTCAGTAGAAGTCCCAAGTAGTTGACGCAATCGAATTTGATGAGTAACCATCCTAATAAGATACAATAATGATGATTAAATATGTTTCAATAAAAGATATATCTTAAGAATGTAAAATAAAATCAGCTAAATATGCATGAAACAATAAGAGAACTGCAAACTAAAAAGATAACACTAAATAGGATAAGTCATCAGAAAAAATTATTTCATCCAAACACATGAAATAGTACAATTAAATTTGCAAGTGATACACAGAACTTGCTTTTCATAAGTCGCTAAGAGGCGAGCAATAATCCGCTTGGAGAAATGCACTCGTTCTTGCAGTTTATCCGGAACTTCTTCTTTGTCCCATGAAGCCAACTGCTTGAGAAACGACTCTGTAGACGTTGTAACTGTAAACACGAAGAATGAATGGAAAAAGGACAATGTAATTAAAGTATGTGAGAGCAGAACAAATGAGATATACTTTTTGTAGTCTGAACTGTTTCTCATTCCAATAAAATCTTCATTAGTGACTATTAATTCTAATTTTGCCATCGCTATATTATCATTCTACCACAGCGAAACTTGACCCCTGTCATGAGAAAACTGGCAGACTTTTCAGCTCTAATCATCATCATCTCCGCAGGATAGCTGAGATCCAGAGAAGACAGTAATGTAAGTAATTCTAAGGTGCAGCAGCACATGTTTGAAAGTGGTGGGAGTTGACATTTATTGAATGAATTCATCTTGTGACATCAGTTGTGGTCGTTCAGGGATACCCCAGGAATCTCATCGTGTGAGCTCCAATACTATTCACTTGTCCTAGAACTTGTTCAAAAAAGAAATGGTCAGTTGCACCTTGTGACTTCCTTAATAAGGTTCCAGAGATTATGTGACCCAGCAAATTGAAACGATATCGAAAATGGCGACGATACCGATGTAATTTTGTTGCGTCCTCTATTTGTGAATCGTGACATTTTTGCAATGAAAGTTTTTTGATATCTTTTGGAACCTAACATAAGCCTATTCTTCTTCACCTTTACTCAATACTTTTCGTTGCTTCATTTACGGCGTTGACATAACGCTGTGTGATGCATACCTTATAGTCAAGTAAGGCCGAACTCGTGTTTGAAATCAAATAAATCCAATGACGATAAATAATAAAGTTGAACCAAAGGGGCATGAAAACAGTTTCCCAAAGCCAATCAGTGTAAATGAATTATTCATTAGCATGTCCCTTAATTTAATGGTCGTAGATGCCCAAATATTTAGAAAATGAATATCTCATCTACGCATCCGCTATTCCCGAAACAAAAGATATATATATATATATATATATATATATATATATATATATATATATTAGTAGGGTGTGTGGTTTAGACACTTCGATCCACTGGGCGAAACACCAGGTGTTTGAATCAACAGCTACAATAAATTATCTAAAGTAGGTGGTAAAAGTTTAAGTACAAAGTGTTCGATGTACACATTATCATACCATTTAGAGATACAGATATCCACAACAAATCAACGGCGAGCACTTGAAAATAAATATTGGTTAAAAAGACACAAAGCAATAAATTTAAGCATGAAATAGTGCTTTCTGTGGTCTGCACAGTAGGGAATACTGTATCAGGGTCGAAAGCTACGTATCGCATATCCATTTCGAGACCATTACCAGAAACCAAGGTTAACATTTATAAAAGAAAACACAGTTTTAATACCGTCTATGACAGTTTTCTGAAACCTCCATGGTACTATTAAGCGTTCACCCTTAAAATCTGTGATTCCTATTATCTTGCACAACACTGGTTAGCGTTGGGTGTAGCTCACTCACTGGTTTATACAGTTAACTTTCAACCAATGGGTCACGGGTTCGAGCTACACTCCACCTACCGAGGTTTGGTTACCCAGATAGTATCACTAGCGTCCACGCCATAGGTTTGGCTTGTTGACTATTGCACAAGTATGCACAAGAATTTTGAGTACGTTTCGATTTTTTTCGACTGAGCGTTACAGTTAATGCATATCTTTGAAGACTACAACCCCTTCTAAACGTGAAAAAGCTTTTCTTATCACAGCTGAATACTCCAAAAAAACTAAGTACATTCATCGCAAATAAAACAAATTGGTCAGGCAAAAGTACATACTTTCTTCCTCAGCATCTGAGTCGAAACGTTGCAGCATTATCAGGCTATCTTCGTCTAACTACCGTTTCAAAGGAAAAATCGAAGCAAATTAACACGGCATTCTGATATCAGCATAAATCAAAAACGAAGACGATAAACAGAGAAATATCAGTAAAACAACATTGATGAAACGAAGGGAACAATAAACTGCTACTTGTGTACAGTATAATAATAAAAATAGATATAAATCTACCTAGCCTTGTTACCCTCTTGCTCATTCAGTTTAACTAACAACTTCGAATTAAAAACAATTAGGTAAACGGGAAATGTAAACTGGCAAATTCAAAACGCCAATTTGTCTGAACGTGCAGCATCCATTAATAGGACAGATTTTTGCAAATCGGATAAACTTGAAACTATGTCAACTGTATGTTTTGGTTCCGGTCCAAGTATTTGGTATCAGAAAAAGCAAAAGAAAGGGGAATGTAGAAACAATAATATTACGAAGGCTTTTCCGAGAAAGCACCAGTTTTAAAAGACCAGAGAAACTAAATTTTACTCCCAGCAATCGTGATGCGATATTAACGCGCCAGACTGAAGAAAATGTTGAAGACTAAAGGTAATCAACAAAATATGCCGTTTCACGGATTTGCTATATACGGTTGACATCCACCCAGACGACAACCACAAGCACACTACTTTTTCCAGTGGATGTCATGATGTCCCCAACAGCACTGAAGGCTCTCAGTCAATGGGAACCAATCTCCTCCTGCAGAATCGGGATCATGACAACAAGATTCATCTCAAAAGGAAAGAACGTCATAATCACACAATCTACGCTTTACACCCACAAATAATACAGATTAAGAGAAGAAGGAGGAATTCCACAGACAACTGCATTCAGTAACGCACAAGACTTCAGTTGGCGACACCAAAATTCTAATTTGTGACATGGATGCCAAACTGGGAGCAGGCAATACAGGTAGAGAACTCATCATCGATCGAGAAGCGATCTGTGAAATCAACGAGAATTGAAAAATGTTTGCGGAATTCAGCGCATTCAACGAGTTGGTGGTCGTAGGTAGTGTGCACAAACACAAGGATATTCACAAAGCGACATGGGTTTAACCAGATGGACACACAACACAGAAAATCAGAACGACTTCATCTCAATCTCAAGAAAGTGGAAACGCAGCCTGCTGGACTGGACACAAGATCAAGAAGGGAAGCAGATGTGGGTGGGTCACACTAATCATTATCTTGCGCAGGGGACCTACCTACAAAATCAAGTTGAAAGCCTTCAAAGAAGCTGGTGATAGACCACAGTTCAAGATCAACACCCGGACCAAAAACTGAAGGACAAAACTACAAAGGACATCTTCACGTCAAACATCTGAACAAAATGGGAGACATTGAGCAACATCCCTGAAGAAACCTCCGTGGAAGAACACTAGAACCATTTGAAAGAGATCTGGAAAGAAACCTGCATAACCATATTAGGAAGGGAGAGGAAACAAGACAAGGAATGGATCTCAACGGACACACGGAAACTAATAGAAGAGAGGAAGATGGTGATGATGAAGCAGAAGATGAACTAGTGCAGTGCAAGGATGCACGACGAAAAGAAGAACTGAGTACAACGTAGAAAACACCGGACAAAGAAGTAAGGAAGAGTGCGCACAAAGACAAAAGACACTTACTTCTACGACACACTTACAAGTGAAGCAGAACAGGATGCTGGTAGGAGAGACCTGACAGCATTATATCAAATAACCAGGTTACTATTCGGGAGGAGATCAACGCAGACGAAACCAATGAAAGATAGTGAAGGGAACCTAGTTACCGCCAAAGAGGAGAAACAAAGGAAATAATGGGCTGACCGCTTCAAAAAACTCTTGAACTGACCACCACCTGCAACTCATCTAGAAATACCATCAGCAGCCGAGCCAAAGAACTATCAGTCAACACAAGCCCTCCGACAAAAACAGAAGTGAAGCCCTGAACGCCGTAAGGCTTCTGAAAGCTGGGAAAGCAGAAGGACCAAATGGAATTCTGCCAGAAGCACTGGAAACAGATGCAGAGACAACAGCAGACACGCTCACACCAATACTGCAGAAGGTTTGTTGGGAAGGAAGGAAGGAAAGGTACCTGCCGATTGGAAGAAGGGCTACCTTGTCAAACTCCAAAAGAAGGGAGACCTAATTCTCTGCAATAACTGGTGCGAAATCATGCTCCACATTTGTCCACCCCAAGCTGAATATCAAGACACATCATCATGGAGGGAATAAAGGATGCGCTGGATTCAAAATTACGACCGGAACAGGCCGGCTGGCTTCAGGAAGAACAAATCATGTGCAGATCAAATCGCAGCACTACGCATCATCATAGAACAGAGCATAGAATGGCAGTCAACTCTCTACCTAGACTTCATCGACTTTGAAAAGGCCTTCGACAGCGTCGACCAAGAAGTAATCTGGCAGTTGCTTCAACACTACGGTCTTAGTGCCATAAACCTTTATCAACCTCATTCAACAGCTATATGTTATACGATGCTATATGCCAAGTGATTCACAATGCAAAGCTCAGCGATGCCTTGAAGTGAAAAAACGAGTAGGACAAGGTTGCTACCTACTATCACTCATGATCTTCCCGATTGTGGTCGACTGGACTGGACTGGATCATGCAACAGACGACTGTGAGGAGCGAGAGGATGGCCATACGCTGGACCGATGAAAAGACCCTAGAAGATTTGGATTTCACCCGTGATGATGATTTATGTCTAATGTAGCGTAAATTCGAAGGTCTAAAGGTGAAAACTAACAAGTTAACAGAAGAGGTAGCGAAAACAGGACTTCAAGTGAACGTAGAGAAGACGGAGGTGATGGAGATACCCAATCAACAACAAGCACTAATCACCATTAACGGAAGAAACTTAAAGGAAGTTGTCTCTTTCACCTACCACCTAGGCAGCATCGTTTCAACCACAGGCGGCACAGATGAGGATGTCAAAGTAGCCAGGATCGGAAACACAGTAGAACAGGCTTTTATTAACCTGAAACCAGTGTGGAGACCTACTGCACTCAGCGTAAAGTGTGAACAGGATCCGGATTTCCAACACTAATTCAATCAGGTCAGTGCTTCTATATGGTTCAGAAACTTGGCGCCTTACGAAAGGCATTGCCAACAAACTACAGGCATTCATCAACAGCTGCCACCTACGCCTACGCTCATTTGATACTGAAGATCAGATGGCCAGAATAATAAGAATAAGCAACAAGGAACTCTGGGAACGAACCAACGAAGCAAGAACCCATCGCCCAACAAATATGCAGAAGAAAGTGGAGATGGATTAAATTGTATTGGACATAACAACGAGAAGACCGTTCGGGGACATCACGCGCCAGGTCCTCGAGTGAAACCCGAATGGGAAACGACGAGTTGGACGTCCCAACTGACGGTGACATGGAGATTGTGTGAGGAAGAATAGGAAGCTTGTGAGCAGTTGTGGAGCCAGGTTTAAAAGACTGCAGAGAACAGAGTGCATTGGAGGCGTGGTACTGAAACCCTATGTTCCACTAGGAAACCAACGGACAAATAAAAATATTAATGATGATAATGTGAATTTACATTTACTAGTGACCGAATTTCGCTTTTGCATTAATTTAAATGGTAGTGGTGATGTTTCAAGATATATTTTCCAGAAGCATTTGACACCACTGTGAAAAAGCATTTCAAGGTAGGGCTATAAGCTACCAACGATAATTGAATTTGATACAATTCAACCTGATACAAGTTTACGTATCAAGCAATGAGTCACATTAAATATGAGGCTCTATGAGATAACCCAGTTGCCCAGGGTAAAGTGGATGAGGCAGGATTTGAAACTCCGATTAATTACTTGACAGGCAAGCGCTTAAGTCATCCCTCGATAAGATTAGTTCAACAGCATCCTTTCTAGGAGTGACTGAGACTATAAGTGCACTTGAAAATAAACCTCGTAATGTCTAGATTGGCATTCCTACGTTTTTATCCATGACGAAAAGTGTGCATCAGAATTACCTTAATGATTTCTTCAGTATGCTTCAAGAAAGTTCTACACAATTTTGTTCACAATTATGTAAAGCCATTTAGAAAAATGAGATTCTTATGATATTTACCTGAACAGGAATGAAATGAATTCCATTTTTCTTACTACTGATATACAATAAAGTGGATTAATGACAAAAACTTGGAAGAATTCGGCATCTTCTGAAACCACTGGTGATAAGTGTGAATAACACGAGATTGAAAAATTACACTTTTAAAGGATTATAATATATTAGATGTTCCAATCTTTCATCTGAAGAATCTAAAACTGGTCATCAGTTATTTATACCTGAATTCACTGTAATGGACGCTGACAAAGCAAGGACTCAGAGCAACGGGAGCGGACAGTTATACACTATGCAACTCAGGCTAGCATATATCTATTGTAATCTATTAGTGATCAGTCCTCAAAAAAACTGACTATCAACTTTTGGTTTGAAAGTATGTTTTAACTTATCCATGATGTCAACAACTTTCTTGACGAAAACCAATTTGGTGTTACGCTATGAATTTTCTGAATCAACGTAAGCCCAAGAATTAAATAATCAAAGCACAGACGGACAGTCCATGTTTTAAGTTTTGCGATTAGAAAATAATGAGACTAAACCAAGAGGCATACTTATTGGCTGACAGCCAAAATGTTACATGACTTCGTTTGTAAATTATTAGCGTTGATAATACAGCTAAATTTCCTCAAATATTTCAAGATGAATGCACTGAACTTGAGTTTATAAACGAATACCAATTTTCACTGAGATGTAGGGGAATCCAGGTGATAAATTTACCCATACTATTACGTACATATCCTAAATAAAGCTGATGACCACTAATGAACATTATATTCAATCGACGATGATTTTGAAGTGTTGAGGCACATGATGTCGAAAAGCAAAACAAGTTATTGACTGGTGCAATAAACTAGATGGGACATGGTACAAGTCATTAACAAATGTGCTGTATCCTGTTCATGCATTCTCACCTGATACAATATGCTGACTTTAACGGAACATTTCCGGAAAATACTGGCTAGAACTATGAAAATAAAGCAACAGTCAACAGCATCATGGATCAGTGTGTTCTCCTGGCTTTAGAGATTTGCTATTACAGCCTCGAAGCATGACAAGATAGCTACAATGAAAGTTTATGGCCCAACTTCACCCTTCTCGGTAGACTGTTTTTGTATGGCTAACAAAAGCAGTAAAAAAATTCAGAAAACGACCACAAAATTCATCATCGCTAAAAATACTAACTTTTTAGTCAACAGAGTATGAATTCGGTTAGAAAATTATCAATCAAGTTAACATCACCTGATTCCAATATCGATTGACCACACAAAGTAGTGCGTCATCCTTAGTCTGACGGTTTTCCAAATGTTCAATACGTTCTTTCAGTTCACTAATGGCAGCACGACGTTCCATCAAAGCTTCCCATAGTTTCTTATTCTGAAGTTGTAATGAGCGCTTGTCAAGCTCCTCCAATGACGTGATACGAATGAAGGAGACAGGTTCAGATGCAGCTGAGATCAAACGTTTACTGCTAGGTGGAGTTGAACCTGACTCTGAAGTAGATTCACGTAGCAAATTATGTCCTGAATTTGTATCTTCGGGAAATGATCGCTTCATTTTCTATGAAAATAAAAAATTGAATTTACAAGTGTGCAATGAAATTGTCTACCCTAGACTTGTTGCAATCGAGTAATTCAAATGTACAATACTTTAAGGCCTAAATAGATTCACAGATATACGGATAGCTGCAAACACATCCGATCCTCTAATCCTTCAGAACAAAGAAAAGCTGTCTACAGTAAACATGTATCAATTCGATCAGCCAGCGTCGGTTATAACCGAAGTTTATGGTTTACACACCAAATATACGCTTCTATCTGCCAAGGCAAACCTACAGAAAAGAACCCAAATTTATATGATTCACACTTCAATACGAGGATTTTATGAGACTATTCAATGACCATCTTGATCTTCAGTATCTCTATCTTTACTCCAAACACTAATAGGTTCATACTAACAAACTTAGCACATTCAGGTTTGGATATGAACATATAGAGATTTAGTTTAGTGATTTCGATATCACACATAGATCGTGTTACGTCCAACTAGTCAAGTACAGTCGTTTATTGGTTTACGTCTAGAAGAATGGGCGTATCTGTGGAAACATAATATTTTCCATTCAATGTTGACTAACTTCTATGCATCTGATTTAGTACACAACAATAACACATCAAAACTAAACATTCAGAAAGATAAATTTGCAACTAAGAATGTATTTTTCCGAATCACCGTTAGAAGGCAGTTCAGAAGGAACCTTTATAGAGGGAAGACAGAAGTATCAGATGAGATGTGAACGGGAAGTCAAGTGAAACCAGCGAACCTTACACAAAATAATTTCCTTTCAGCAATAGCAGTGGTATCCGTCTCACTCACATGAATAATGTAAGACCGACATGCACCTTAACAGTAAAAAGCTTGAAAGTAATGTATCAAAAAACATACGTTTATGAAGAGATAAACAGAAAACCAGAACTAAGCAATTTAGTCAGGAAAAGAAAAATCGGGTTATGCTTGACCAAATCATAATAAAGCAATAATCAACTTTCATAATGTACCAGGAAGCCCCGTAAAGTTATAGGTAGGAAGTAAATACGATTTCTGGTAAGGAAAACATGAGAAAAAATATACTGAATGACAAACAATAAATCATCAAACCTCATAGTATTACGTCGGCAAGAAATTGAAGACTATCAGGATACCAAAGGTTGAAAAAAGAGGCACATATGGTGCTCTAATGACTTATTTTTAACGATGTTGTGACGAACAATCTCAGAAATAAAGTTCGTTTCATACAGCAAAAAAATTAACGTACAAGAAAACTATATCGAGGTAGGAATGCTCAACGAATAAAAAGGAAAGGAGACACCAAACAAAGTACGAATAAATACATGATTGCAAACATACAGTAAACTAACAGTCTGCTGGCTTGTGTAAAGAATAAAGCTGATGGACAAAGCAAACAAGATAAACACAGAGGAAATACATATTACAATAACACACGCTCACATGCAAGTGTTTAAAATAAAGTATGCAGCCAATGGTATTACGAAGATTATAAATAAAACCACCTATACTGAGAATTATCTAATCAAAGTATTTCATAATTCTGAATAGCAGTTTGCAGTTTACTGAAAGAATTACAAACACGTCACTTTAGGTAAAAATATATGATGACCGAACGATAAAAACTGTCAGTCGACCAAAACAACGATGAATTCATTAGTATGCGATTCGTACATCAATGAAGAGCGAAACGTTGTGTCAGGAAATATTTTCCTTGTTTACGAACTAAGTTTTTTTATAATTAACTTTCAAGTTTGAATGTTTCAAGAATAACATACCAAAGAAGAATTCTGAAAAAACAATGGAAAATATATGTTTGGAAAATTGAATCAATGGAAATTGGTTTACATATACATTCACTGGTGAAAATCAAAAACATTATTTTAAACTGAGAGATAAACCAGCTGAACGAAAAAGTGTAATCTTGTGAACAGTATATGCAAGCTACTGTACATGGAGGAAAACCGTCACAGGTGAGCTTGTTTGGGATAAGAGCGCACAGTAAAATAAACTATCTTATCGGTATAGAAAACACGTATAATAAACATGGGATAATGACGGGAAGAGTCCACATCAAAGTTCTGTCCATGGAAAAACTAGGCGCTCATAATGCGTATTAGTTGACTTAGCTCAAAAATAATAAGTGTGATTACGAGGAAGCCTGAGATATTGAGAAAATTCAGAACAGCTTTTTTTAAAGACAAAGATTATTTTCTCTGAGCATGTGAATTGTCAACTGTAGCTAGTGATGTACGTGACTGAGGTTTTCCCACGTTCATTGACCGGATCGCCTGAGGGTCATATACATGTTCGCTAACGATGTTGCGAAAAGAAGGATTATGAGATGCAGTCGACGGGAAGGTATGTACAGAAGAACCTGCCAAACGAGATGAAGTAGCAAGTGCGGCTGCAGCAAGTGCCGATGCCTGAGCAGCAGCTAAATTTGATTTGTGTACTATGCGAGTGTCAAGTGGCTTCGAGACTAGACCATTCATGTGTTCACCTGCACGTGTTGAATAGGTATCACAAACACCAGTCTCCATCATATGGCTATTCTCCGTCCGATGACCTCCTATAAAAGGTAAACTATGCATAAGCCCTGCGGAAGCATCGCTGGGTATATTCACAGTATTATTAGATGCTGGCTGATAGTCAAAAGGGTTGCTTCTAAATGTCAAGTTGGTACTACCGACATCCATATCCTCAAAATCCTCAGCAAAAACGAAGGGCTGTTGCGGTTGCGTTGGGACCGAAGTGTGAATGGGATTTGGGAGATGCGTGGGCAAGTTGGACTGCAACTGTTCAGGATGAGGAGTTCCGATATGTGGAATGTCAGTTCCCTGCATAAGAGTGTTGGTATTTGCCATAATTGTATGCCCAACAAAGCCTGGAGAGCTGAAATGCAAGAGACAAATGATGACAGTTAGCTGCTGAATCACCACGTTATATAGATTGCTATCATTTGGAAAGTAAATCAACTCTCTCAGTGACAACAGTTCACATAACCTAAACAGTTATGTTAACAAGCAAACTACAGTAAAGATTCTCACCTGCTAGATGACAATCCGGACCTCCGACGTGAACGTGAACTATTTTGCCAAGTAGATACCCACGGATCACGGGCCATATCAATATGGATTTGTGGATCAACATAAGTAAAGCCTTCAAATACATCCGAAACCATCGCGGATATTGGCAAACCTTCATCAGGACTTTCAACGGGATTTTCCTGGGTAAACTTGGGTCAAAGAGAGAAACATCTGTATCAGATGTTAAGGTTGGTCGAAAAGGTGGTTCAACTTGTCGCTTCAACACACGATCCCAGTCAGTGTTATAGAAAAATGGATGCATTTTAATCGCCTCTGCATCCGATGGTCCAGAACCCAGGCGTCTGCTAACGTCTACAACCAACAGCTAGGATAAGAAAAAGCAAAGATATGCAGATAAAGACGGATCCCAAAAATGCAGTGACTAAAAAAAATGAGTTGTATGCTCCAATCTCTGAAATAGACAGAGGTAAAGTATAACGTTCTTTTGGTTGCACGTAGAGCTACACTGAAATAGAAAGTTCGTGCTTTGATTAAATCTCCCAGTAACATGAACTTACAGCGTAAGTAGATCTTTTGACGAAAACGATATAAGAGTAATAAAAATCTTTTTAAATACCCATCAGGTTGTAAACATGATTGGTGAAAACATTCGGTTTGTAACCTACAGCGAAGCAGCACCCGATACTGCTGTTTGAGCTTTGATAATTACTTTCATGACATCAGTTAAAGTAATACTGGTTCCTGATATGTAGCTGAAAATCCAAATCCATTCAGCTACCTTGTGCAGATTCGTGCATCTGGGCAATGAGCCGCACTCAGTGTGTGAGGGCTAGTAAAATTACTTGACTGACCAAACGTCGAGAGGTGGAACACTGCTGGAAACCGTCACTCGTTGGTTGAAAGTCAACTCCGTAAACCAATGAACCACGGCCGTATATGTAAATGAAGGTTATTATCATAGAATTGGTTTTAATTCGTATATTTCTATATGCTGATGCATGATAACTGGTTAACATTCACAATATAGTTCTTTGGTGCCTGTTGACTAACTCTAGAAATTTTGAAAGAAGCAGAAAAAGTAGTCCTACTATGGGCCCCAATACCCCTTGTATAACTTGCAGATGAAAGCATTTCGCAAACCAGAAAACAGACCGAGTGACCTTGAAACTCAAGTAACTGAAGCATTCATCCATCTTGATCATGTTGTAAGTGGTACAACTAGACAATATATACCTTTGAAGTAATGTGTCTATAAATTAATTCATCGGTCAAGAAATCATTGGATAGGACACACAAGATAGTAGTTTACAGACTACAAGGATACGAGAACAAGTGTGCAAAACTTAGCTAAATAGCTATATATTTTAATATCTTAGTATGTGGAGACAATGACACCCAACTCAGTGCCATAACTGATTTTTCTCACACAACTGACATTTGGAGTTTCTAAATCATCAGCAACCCTTTTCATTCACTTACTTTTCTGTTCGCTTGTAATTACCATTTCCAAATTTTCCTAATAACGTTAAACGTTATATTACAACCAACAGGTTTTAGAAACCTCATATTCCACATTACATGTACACAGTGTTTCTGAGAAGATTCACGTGCAGTTTATCAATAAGTCTCAAACGGAGAACTTAAGGAATATAAAATGACACCCTGTTCGAACGTACCAGTATTGTATGCCTAGTTTCTAAGATCAGGTGGTATGTGAGCGTAAAGCTAAGTTGTGTGACAGAAAGTACACTTAAACGAATTCGCCAAAACTAGAAACCGAGACACCGACAACTATCACTAGTCATCACTTTTACCTACGAATCTAGTTTCGAACTGTGAGAAGAATTACATTCATCAGTTATCCATCGTAGTTACATAAGCAGGTAGGCTAAGCCAAGTATAAAATAACTTCTCCTTACACAGTGACCATCCGAAGTGATGACAAGTTATCAACAAGATTTCCGCTGTCAATAACATTCACTTAACTTCTTTAGAAATACAATAATGACGATAAAAATACTTACCGCTGATACCCTATGAATCAACCGGCTACCCAGAGAACCTAATTAACTTAAAATTTACGCGCAGCTTATTCACCATAAGGATCACGACGATCAGTGGTCAGTAAGTGTAAGATATGTAAGAAAGCACCGAAATCAGAAAATAATCAGTATTCATTTAGGTATATTTAGGAAACCGACTTGAAGGGAAGTTTGGGTATGGTGAGATCAAAAAAGATAGACTATTAATAAACTTTAAGAACACTGAGCGAAATATCCTGAGGAACATTTCAACTGGATTACAACTTCAAGTCGTGCATCCAAGTGTAACTAAGATGAACTTATGACACCAATACACCAACTACTAAGAAACCCAAAGCCATGAAAACCTGAAACGAAAACAAAGCAGTGGAGGTTGACTACCTGTTTCTAGAATTTTTTTTAAATGTTGACCGCTTAAAATTACTGGGTAGTTTACGCTAAAAAAATAGAAATCAGTTCTTTAGATGAACCGACTACAGTAACTGTTCCAGTTTACAAAAGTTTCATAGTGTGACGGAACAAATGATTTCCCAAAGATCATAGCGATGTCATCACTTAAAGGACCTTACATCACTTTAAAGTCGACGCTTACTAAGAATAAATTTAACAGGAGTATTATAATTAGGAGTGAACACCTGTGCTTAAATTGATGTTTCTTATTGCTAACAATGATCCCAACTAAATAGTGTAGTTTCATGAACTTCTATCCAGTTTAGTCTTCGAAATATGAAAACCGTGAGAATTGCAGTAGGATAACTACTCACCTTGGATATAAGTGATACAGCTTCACGGCTTAAATAAGGTACAGGGACAAAATCACCACGTAGTATCTGAAAAGAAATCGGAAACATTCATTTGATAAAATCATTACAATGAACGCTAATTCAGAGAAAATTATGCACCGCTATTGTGAATAGTCAAAATGAAACATGAAGAATCCAAGAGAACAGTCGCAATTACACATTTTTCGCTTGAGGTACGACAAACTCCATGGGATTACATCAATCTAATGATCACATACTTTGAAAAATCCAAGTTGAATTCGTACTAACCCTTAGACCTAAATTCGTTATCTTGTTAACATTACTTTGGACATATTCCACACCACGACACAAGAAGGTAATTTTCCTAATAGATCACCCTGAGAAAAAAAGCTTACAGAAATTTTCACTGAAAACAGGATTTCCGCCGTCCATTTAGCTCCTACGCTCGAACATCGCTTGGTGTGTTCCACGATGGTACGGATTTATATAAAGTCCGGAAATCAATTACACCTTCGAAAAACGAAGCTCCGAAGACCGCTTCCAAATTGATTTTCATAGTCACGTGGACAAAGTCAGACTTAGCTTCAGAAATTTAGCTTAGCTGACACTGATATATACTACAGTCTCATATTACCTGACAAACCATACCATATCGCATTTCATAACCCAATCGAAGTACTCAATCAACAGTTTGGCGATCATTCACCTCTCTTTAAAACACAACTCAGGTGAACGAAGATTACGACTGTGTTAGAGCAATCAACTGAAATGAATGAAGATTCCGAATATAGACGCTCACACTGGTCATCTCCCACACCTACAAACCCGCTCGGCGGGTTGATGCAACTCCTCAGGTAGGTGAAGTAGTCAAGACATTCCATCACTTCACTTCCTATCATTGAACAGGGAGTCCCTGCATTACACCAGTCCTAGAGCATCATTTTACATTTGACAATTTGACAGGTGCCAGTGAAACTCATGCCAAACATACTGAGATTTCTGCTCAACGCGTGCGTTCAGAAGCATCTGCATTCTGTCAGCATCTTCACCTAGCAGGATGATATCATCTACCTACTCCAAGTCAGCCAGATGACCTCGTGGGAGAGGGTCAATCCCAGTGAATTGTCCATCGGTAAGTTTATGATGAAGTTAAATAGCAACGGTGGCAGTGACCATCTTTAGCGAACACCGATCCCCACACACTACACAGTACCTCCGTCACATTAGACTATAATTTCCTACCTCTAACCTTGAAAACTTCGGGTGCTGAACTGACACGTTATGCTGCCTTGCACTGTTTCAGGCTCGATACAGCTTTCTCAGCTTCAAGAAGACTAGGAAGAAAGTTATCTACATCCCATACAACTTCAGTCCGAGTGTCGGGCAACTGAAGCACTGCTGAGGGCCAGTTGAACTGTGTTATCCCTAACGTTTTTTTAACTTCGGCATAAACGTACCGATGGACAATTCACTGGGATTGACCCTCTCCCACGAGGTCATCTGGCTGACTTGGAGTAGGTAGATGATATCATCCTGCTAGGTGAAGATGCTGACAGAATGCAGATGCTTCTGAACGCACGCGTTGAGCAGAAATCTCAGTATGTTTGGCATGAGTTTCACTGGCACCTGTCAAATTGTCAAATGTAAAATGATGCTGATGCTGATGTGACAAATGTTGTGGTCTGGCGAGGAGTACTAGGCAAGAAAGGTGATTCCCTGAATGAGGTTGTGAACCTTCATCACCTGAGGTGACTTGGACATTTATCACGCATGCCAAGTCACTACCAACCTCAAAAGTGCCATCCCAGGGGTAGTTGCATTACGTTGGAAAGAAGTTCAGGATAACAAGACCAAGGAGTGGCGCTGGTCCATGAAGTCTCTGACTGTTGGTTGAGCCGTGTGAGCAGATGTAGACTGCGTGGTTGGAGTCCTTGAGACAAAAGAAGTTAATGGTTGAGGACTTTCGGTGAAATGGCTCACAATCGGTCACAGTGACTCACATGTATTCACTCCTTGAAATCTTCTGAAGCTGGAATATTTGCACTAACCGTTATCTTTAGACTGTCTATTCACTCACAAAACCTTATCTACTTTGGTATCACTCTTTTTCTATCCACCTAGTCTTCGTATACAACTGTGAGCCGATGCACCTGAGTCAGGTTATACGTTGATTTCTCCAGTCACTCTATAAATATCACAAAGCTTTAGCTATTGCATGTAGGTGTGGGAGATGACCAGTGTGAGCGTCTATATTCCGAATCTCCAACCATCTCAGTTGATTGCTCTAACACAGCCCCAATCTTCGTTCACCTGAGTTGTGTTTTAAAGAGAGGTCAATGATCGCCAAACTGTTGATTCAGTTCTCGCACTAGTCTGTTCAGATGATGCTGTCGAAATCATATGACAATTGTTAACTTTTGGGTGTAGGTTACCAACTATCTCTATCGCTGTTTATACAACAGACTTTAAATCACGCCATATTTCCTCAGAATGAACAATCCTGTAACGTTCAGATAAATGCTTAGCAATCTCTTCCCTAAATTTTAACTTGACGTTTTCATCTTCCAACCTTCCAATCTTCTCCAACCAGTAAGGAGTGCACATACACGAGCCAATACTAAAGCATGGTCGGAGGTCAAACTGACTCTCCAGAAGGAACGGCAATCCCCTACTGATCCTCTTCAACCGTGGCTTACAACAATATGATCTACCTCTGTCCATCGTCAGTTTCATGTCGGCGGACGCCATGTGAGACAGTGTCTCTCCTTATCCCTAAAGTTGGTGCTGGCCATAAACAAGTTGGAACAAAATTCCAACAGACGATCACCGTTGGCGGTTTGCTGGCATACGACTCCGTAAATACCTCCAAGGTGCCTTTATGATTTGCTCACTTCCCCCTACTTGAATGTGAATGGCATCTGCTATCACGACTACATCTGAACCTTTGACATTCTGTAGCAAAATTGACAGCTTCTCATAGAACTCATCCTTCACATCATCCGACCTACAGTCAGTGCGTGCGTAGGCGGAGATTACGAATAGGCATTGCTTAGTCTCACGATCATTCCCAGTCTTCACACATATATTCAGTCGATCAGCACAAAGATGGCTGTTTACTGGCATCCACTCGACAAGCGCACTGTCTACCCTACAACTCAGTACAATGCATACACCAGCGAGGCCACGAGAAATGGCCAGTGGGTCTCCGGATACTCGTAGGGTGAATTTTCAAGATTCACTACTACCCAGAGCTTACGCCAATTTAATAACCACACTCGGGTCCCGTATACGTGTCTCAGAGACACGGCATACATCCTTGGCTAGAAATCCCAGAGTTCTGACGAGCGATGCTTGCTGCCCGGTTTCATATAGAGTTCGCACTTTGAAAGCTTCTACATGGAATCGATAGCGACGTCTTAGGAGACTAGAAATGGATTTCGATGGCTTTGATCGTTGACAATGGTTGTAGAGTGAGAGGTTAAGAATGGTGTAAGAGGCTAATATTAGTATCAGGAGGCGAAGGCGAAGGAGGAGACAGCTGGTGAGGATAGATTATGTTTTATGGGGTCTTGTATGCCACTGAAAGCCTGTAGACGCTTGACACTTTCCGGTTGCCTACACCGTAGATAGCTATTTCTCCTCAAGGTCTCTGAAAGAGATTTTTTTGATTACAGAGTCCCAAGAGACATCTGTTCCAGTTTTGTCACTCACAGCCTTTTGTGGGATGTTATATTGAGGTTTGTTTGTTTCAACAGCGAACAGAGAACCCATATAGCCAGTAGCGAAAGACTGTGAAGCATAGTGGAGTGTTTTATTTCGGGGGCCGATCTTCTTTGCTTCCTTCCCCGGCTTCTATCGAGAAGGCAGCCTCAGTGTGGCCTATTAACGGTCAGATGTAGATGATAAGATTTTTATACGGAACTACTCGGTAAGGATTTCGTATCACAGTGTGAAGTAAAAGTGTGACGATACTAACGATTTGTTTGAACTGGTTAACTGAAAGTGAATGACGAAAAGTCAGTGAGTTTGTCTGTCTGAGTTTGTATAAGCTTTGGTCAATATGAGCGAAATGAACATAAACTCGGCTGATCAAACAGCTTATTAGCACTGACATCGCTTAGATGTGTCCTCTTTTCATCAGTTTGATCTCGTCTCTGTACTGAGCAACCAAGTGAAGGTTCTTGCATTAAGCAACGGGTTTAAAACACTTAAAAAACCTACGCAAGTTCAGTTGGATTTGAACTTTCGACTTAATGTTTGATGGTCAGGTTTCCGCAACAGTATGCGACAGCTGCACTGATGTACATAAACCAAAAAATCTCATTGTACCTCATAGTTTTAAGCAATGAGCAACGAGTTCAAACTCTGTAGTGCGAACTCTCACAATATTGAGTTTATATCAGCGGCTTTAAACTAAGAAAGTTGAATTCGGTATGTACGACGCATTGTGCAAAAGCAGAAACAATCATATTATGTCACTGAACCATTTCGTCAAGATCCTGGTTACTCAACCGAAGGTCATAACAAAAAAGTAAAGAGTCTAAGAAACACGTGGTCCATGTAGGATATGTTCTCTACAATGACTCACCACACCAAACTAACACGTGTCCTGTTGGCTTCCTTGTCACCAGACTGTTTTAGAAAGTCCCCGGACACATCTCAAGACCCCTGGAAGATATGCATACTTCAAGGAAATAACAAATAAGCAGCCAATGTTTCATTCAAAACCATGAGAGGTAAGTTATTCATCTTTACAAGACTGCGTGGATGTTTTCCCGCATACAATCTTCAGAAAGTCACCCTATTAATACTAATCCTCGTAAACAAGAACCTGGTGATAGACCACAGTTCAAGATCAACACCCGGACCAAAAACTGAAGGACAAAACTACAAAGGACATCTTCACGTCAAACATCTGAACAAAATGGGAGACATTGAGCAACATCCCTGAAGAAACCTCCGTGGAAGAACACTAGAACCATTTGAAAGAGATCTGGAAAGAAACCTGCATAACCATATTAGGAAGGGAGAGGAAACAAGACAAGGAATGGATCTCAACGGACACACGGAAACTAATAGAAGAGAGGAAGATGGTGATGATGAAGCAGAAGATGAACTAGTGCAGTGCAAGGATGCACGACGAAAAGAAGAACTGAGTACAACGTAGAAAACACCGGACAAAGAAGTAAGGAAGAGTGCGCACAAAGACAAAAGACACTTACTTCTACGACACACTTACAAGTGAAGCAGAACAGGATGCTGGTAGGAGAGACCTGACAGCATTATATCAAATAACCAGGTTACTATTCGGGAGGAGATCAACGCAGACGAAACCAATGAAAGATAGTGAAGGGAACCTAGTTACCGCCAAAGAGGAGAAACAAAGGAAATAATGGGCTGACCGCTTCAAAAAACTCTTGAACTGACCACCACCTGCAACTCATCTAGAAATACCATCAGCAGCCGAGCCAAAGAACTATCAGTCAACACAAGCCCTCCGACAAAAACAGAAGTGAAGCCCTGAACGCCGTAAGGCTTCTGAAAGCTGGGAAAGCAGAAGGACCAAATGGAATTCTGCCAGAAGCACTGGAAACAGATGCAGAGACAACAGCAGACACGCTCACACCAATACTGCAGAAGGTTTGTTGGGAAGGAAGGAAGGAAAGGTACCTGCCGATTGGAAGAAGGGCTACCTTGTCAAACTCCAAAAGAAGGGAGACCTAATTCTCTGCAATAACTGGTGCGAAATCATGCTCCACATTTGTCCACCCCAAGCTGAATATCAAGACACATCATCATGGAGGGAATAAAGGATGCGCTGGATTCAAAATTACGACCGGAACAGGCCGGCTGGCTTCAGGAAGAACAAATCATGTGCAGATCAAATCGCAGCACTACGCATCATCATAGAACAGAGCATAGAATGGCAGTCAACTCTCTACCTAGACTTCATCGACTTTGAAAAGGCCTTCGACAGCGTCGACCAAGAAGTAATCTGGCAGTTGCTTCAACACTACGGTCTTAGTGCCATAAACCTTTATCAACCTCATTCAACAGCTATATGTTATACGATGCTATATGCCAAGTGATTCACAATGCAAAGCTCAGCGATGCCTTGAAGTGAAAAAACGAGTAGGACAAGGTTGCTACCTACTATCACTCATGATCTTCCCGATTGTGGTCGACTGGACTGGACTGGATCATGCAACAGACGACTGTGAGGAGCGAGAGGATGGCCATACGCTGGACCGATGAAAAGACCCTAGAAGATTTGGATTTCACCCGTGATGATGATTTATGTCTAATGTAGCGTAAATTCGAAGGTCTAAAGGTGAAAACTAACAAGTTAACAGAAGAGGTAGCGAAAACAGGACTTCAAGTGAACGTAGAGAAGACGGAGGTGATGGAGATACCCAACCAACAACAGCATCAACAACAAGCACTAATCACCATTAACGGAAGAAACTTAAAGGAAGTTGTCTCTTTCACCTACCACCTAGGCAGCATCGTTTCAACCACAGGCGGCACAGATGAGGATGTCAAAGTAGCCAGGATCGGAAACACAGTAGAACAGGCTTTTATTAACCTGAAACCAGTGTGGAGACCTACTGCACTCAGCGTAAAGTGTGAACAGGATCCGGATTTCCAACACTAATTCAATCAGGTCAGTGCTTCTATATGGTTCAGAAACTTGGCGCCTTACGAAAGGCATTGCCAACAAACTACAGGCATTCATCAACAGCTGCCACCTACGCCTACGCTCATTTGATACTGAAGATCAGATGGCCAGAATAATAAGAATAAGCAACAAGGAACTCTGGGAACGAACCAACGAAGCAAGAACCCATCGCCCAACAAATATGCAGAAGAAAGTGGAGATGGATTAAATTGTATTGGACATAACAACGAGAAGACCGTTCGGGACATCACGCGCCAGGTCCTCGAGTGAAACCCGAATGGGAAACGACGAGTTGGACGTCCCAACTGACGGTGACATGGAGATTGTGTGAGGAAGAATAGGAAGCTTGTGAGCAGTTGTGGAGCCAGGTTTAAAAGACTGCAGAGAACAGAGTGCATTGGAGGCGTGGTACTGAAACCCTATGTTCCACTAGGAAACCAAGGGAAAATAATAATAAGTGGTCGATAAGATGACAAAAATAATTGAACCACATACAAAGGAAAACGCAGATAAACTGAGTATAAAACTCCTTACAAAAGTGCTATTTCAAGTTATCGTTATTCGTAATACAAAACGTATGCGGATTTTGGGAAAACCGAGAATTTAAGCGAAAACGAACAAAAGTTGGTGTGAGACTAGAAGTATAAACTAGTTTGTACGAAAAACCACCTTGAAACAACATTTACACCATGAAAAAGTAACTACTTACCAGATCAATAGTTTGTCTTCTGTCATCACCTGTGAAGGGAGGCTATAAACAACACGTGCGAATTAGTTTGCAAGTACGAAATTAAGAAAATGTCATCAAAATTTTACTTACAGACCCAGATAGCATATCATACATAAGCGTACCAAGACTCCACCAATCAACGGCTCTTCCATGACCCTGACGCAGAAGTATTTCTGGAGCCCTGCAAAATCAACAATACAGAATTCATTATAGCAGTTTATGTTTTTATTGTACCAAGTGATATAATATGCATGACTGTTAACCTACAGAATCAGGTCATAAATGTCTATTAGAAATTATATCACAAAGTAGCTAATTGTCTTCCGGAATTAGTGGTGTTCATCAGTTCACATCTAGTGTATCTCTAAAAAACATTTCAAAGTAGACATACTGAGGCGTCACCCTTGCAGATCATGAAAAGCATGTCCAAAAGAAGCAAAATATGCAAATAGCTTTTCACAACACTAGAAAACACTCAACAGCTCTAATCAATTATCCCACCGTTTTCATCAACGCGCGCCGACACTAATGATTCATATCCAACCGTAATCAAACGGAAACCTGCTGAATACAGTCTTTTTATTATGATGAATATTAAACTGTTGCTAAGTAGTTAGCTTTAAAACCATCAAAAAGGCAATTTTACTTGTCAAGCATCACATGAGTAGAAGTTTCAGAGGGGGAACTCCTTAATGAGAAGAGAAATGGTCAAAAAAAGTTTACTATCACTTGAGCCGGAGATAATCAGACCACGAAGCTATGGTTCTCATGATTCTTTTAGCAATCTGTAACAAAAATTATCTTACTATTAAAAAATGCTTCAAATATTTCATAGACTTACATGTACTCAATGGTCCCGCAGAATGTATGGGTTAAATTATCGCGATCAACCCGCTCTTTAGATAGACCGAAATCTGTTAGTTTCACATGACCCTGGTGATCCAGGAGCACGTTTTCAGGCTTTAAGTCCCGGTAAACAATGCCCATCGAATGAAGATGACCAATTGCAAGTGTTATCTCTGCTAAATAAAAACTAAATGAAATATAGAAATAATTATGTCAGTTGAAAGTGACCCAATAAGGCGGTCAATCGAATTAAATCAGGCGTAAATCACTTCCTTTCTTTGATGAGATGTCTGTACAGTTATGCTGGATTCGCTTTAGTGAATGGTTAAGTAGCGCTCCAGACACCTGTAAAATAGAGGCATTTAACCCAGATGGAGCATGGTACAAGCAGTAGGTTAGGTATAAACTTAATCTGGAGTTGGAACACTTATTTACAGCGAGTTGAATTTCAGTTTACAAGGTAAAAAATAAACATTCAATTATCACCTTTAATCATGATTTGAACTCGTTCCTGCTACTTCAAATGTGAGTAGTAATGCTCTCACTGTTATTTCAAAAGTGACTTTTCTTCAGGGACTAGTTCATATTGGTCGTTTTCCTTTTCGAAAGCTAAGACTGTAACTTTACATACAAGGTAAACATTTCAGCCCTAATGTATCAACTCTTCCGAACGGCTGAATGTTGTTTTAAACCTATCAGGCGAGAAAAGAAATCCGAAAATTTAGAAACTTTTGCGCAGTGTCTTTATGCAACAAAGATATTTTGTTTCAGAACTCTGAATCGGATAAGAGATTTCCAGACATGTCAGTCCATGTAGGTAAGAAAGTGATATCAAAGCAGACAAATGAATGAGAGATAATCTTAAAAAATGTAGTTATAGTAGCAGGCAATTCCAGTGCTTAAATAGGGAAATTGAACTAACTAGAAACATAATGGAGGTATGTAGGGTATCCATTGTTAGAAGTGACCATCACTCGAATTTTTTGATCTGGAAATCACTTATTTGGGACCAGTACTAACTCCAAGCATAACCAAAAACAATATCTCACTTGGCATCCATAGACATTAACGAAGGACACAGATTATATCGCCATGAGTCGAAGTTGGAGAGGATCGGCGGAAGGTTGTCACTATTCCTACAATACATGCTTGAACTCCGACTACGCATTAGTAGCGGTACGTGTTCGCACTTTACTGGTCGCAGGAAAGATGTATTGGAGGAATCTGTGTGCGGCCAAGTGGAAGATGAGTTTATCATGTGTGTATTTACGGAGGAACTCATCTGAACGTGATAGTAGTTCTCATCCTAATGAAACCTGACGTGATGTTCAATCTGCTGCATAAACAGCGTTTAAAACAACTGGTAACTTACGTGCAAAGTTTGGCAAAAGCCGGCGGATTACCGTAACCTCATGTAAACCGACTGATGCGAGGATGCCTTCCAACATAATGGGAAGCAAAACTAGCTGAAGTGCAAATTGACCTAGAGACGTTATTCGACTCAGTCAACTGCAAAGTGTCGTGGTAATGTCCTACTGTGGAGTACTATGCAATTATTGAATGCTAATCAAATCTCTCTACTTATAGTGACGCAGTAGTTTAACGGTACTTGGGGAGTTGTCGTCTGACTTGATAACAACTAGTGGTGTCCACCACGGATGCCTGCTATCACCGTTAGTCTAACTTTGGTATAAATGTTTTAATGAGCGTAACTCCAGGTATTTCTGACAACAAGTATTAATCTACTCGCTAGGCGGCATCTGATTGACTTGAAGTGTGCAGGCGACGCTATGTAGCGAAGACGCTAGCAAAATGCAGCATCTTCTAAACACCAGTAGAAATGTGTCTGCCATGTGTTTCGCACCTGTCAACTGAACCACGACCGCTCTGCAACTAATCCTATTCTGAGAATAGAGAATGAAGCGGTACAATGCGCTGACAGCTCGCCTACTTGGGGAAATGCATCAGTACAAACGGACTATATGCTGACGAAACGGCAACCGGGATACATAAGGCCAGTCCAGTATTTTCTAACTTGCGTCATCTCTGACATTTAAGAAATTGTTGACTACCTGTGGAAGGACGAGTATACTGCGCTGCACTCCGCTTCGTCCTGACCTTCAATCTTAAAATCCCTCCCTCAGAGATACATGTATACCTACTTTAACACTTTTCTATTTCGAACTTTGCATGCTACTGAGGTATCTTGAACCGACGCACTTTTATACGAGGTCCCAAATGGAGCTTTTCTGTTTGTCTGAGTATTTTGAAACTAACATTCTGCATACTGTATATTCAGTGGATTGGTCGTCGATACTCATTTGTGATGCGCTGTATCGCCGGTTGCATAATTTCATGTGAATCTTACTCAATTAAGACCAAAGGTGCATTCGTTTAGTCCCTGAAGTACTACAGAATACCCAGGTGATGAGAACAATAGACAGTACACATGTTGAGTGAGTGGGTTTCATTACTCTGATTAGGGTGGTCGAAATAAAAGGTTACTTCTTTATACACACCAATAATTTCTCTTTAATATGATGGGTATTGACACCAATGAATTTCTGGTGCTACACATATCACGCAGTCGACTTGAGATTTGTTGGTTTAAGGATTTTAATCTGCTATCACTTTCCCCATCAACTTCTTTATATGCAACCATGGAGTTTAGTACCTTGAACGGATGCATTTTCATACAACGTATTAAGTTGATTTCGTCTGTCTCCATCGATGGAGTGGAATGCCGTCTTCATATCAAGAATTACAGTTAGTGTCGGGCATCGGCAATTGTGATTAAAATTGCCTATAAGTCAGAAGAAAAGTGACCGTAACTTAAAAAACATACGAAAGAGTGAGTATCCTTAGACGCCACTAGATAAATACAGCTAATCTGAAAACACACCACAGGTCCTAATAAGCACAAAGCTACTCGAGCAAAGAGCCGCCAACAGCATGATATTTATTGGTAGACTTCCATAAAACCTCTCGATCGACGCAGCTGTAATATCTTAGTAAAAAACAGCCAGTGTAGAGCGTCGGCACACCTGCATTCCATGACCTGGCGGTGTAAATATGTGGTCAATACACCCAGGGTCAGGTCTGAGGCCTGTCTGGTTTTCTCCGGTTTGCTGTTTCCAAGCTCCACTCAGACCTGGTCGATGGCTGCTACCTTAACGTGGTGGTCGGACTTGAAAATATCACAGTGACCCTACGAGCCATACTGGCCGGAAAACTTGTTCACTCAAGGTTCTACAATGACAGAAAGTGTTAGGCATGCCTAATCCCTAAGAATAACTTACTTATGTATATATTATCACTGTAGAATTTAAGCCTCACTTTCGCACCTTCTTACGCCATGCGATGTTACCTGTTTTTACTGCAATTCAGGATAACAAACGCTGACGCTGGACAAGGCCATCTGAGGATACATAAACGACTAATTTTTCGGTTGAAGCAAATATACTTTCAATATCATCGTCTTCTTCTGGTATCAGCTGAATATCGAGTTGGGAAGTCATTGTTCTATCGTTAATCGTATCGCGTCGGAGCACTATCGTTGTATATACCGTAGATAATAACAGGTCCGGTGGACAGTGGTAAAACTAAAAGCAGTTAGCGTTACAGTGTAAATCGCTAGACTGACGAAAGTCCGAGGATGAAGTCGTACTGCTGCTGGCTGGGAAGTGACGGGAGCAAGGTGTTTCCCTTAAATGACCGACAGTGCCACGGCGATCCCGTCTTCCTCTCGGGAAGGTGAGGTCAAGAAACGCCAGTCCCGAAAGAGCACACCACACCCTAGTCCATGGTTTCTCGGCTCCGGCGGTATGGGTTCCCTTTGACAGGTGTTAGAACAACCAAATCTCAAAACAAAAATCAGCAAAAGGGTATATGTGACAGACCACAAGCAGATGTCGTATGGGCTCTGCAGTCACAATCTTTTTCAGGTAGCCTAGGAAGAAGTAACTTTCCACGGTGCAGGCAGCCGGCAAGTGTCAACCGCCGTCACAACTCTGTCAGCACTCAAGCTCCCTTAGGTTGCCATAAACCTCTCGTATCTTTAAATTCCAATCTTCTAACCAATTAGCCCAGATTTTCAATTTCTTCCAGCCCTGCAGCCCTCCACAACAATCTGAGTTCACAGAACAGCACTTTTGGTCTCCTAAAACCGCGCTCCAAATTATTCTGCTGTAAAAAAAAGTGTTGAAGACCGTAGCTAACTCTTGGAAAATACCTAAAAGGATCCAGTAGATTTCAGCAACTTCTGAAATAATGGATGTGCACGAACGCGTCCCTGCAGACTCCGAGCCTAATGAACCAATGCAACTCAGACGCAAACGAGAAATGTCTGTGCGATGACCGCGAACAAAGGTGGGGATGAGATGGGAAAGAGATGTAAGAGGCAGTGGTGATAGGTGGCAGCAGTTATTCAGACATGTCGGAGAAACGTGAGTGGAACGGTCAGTGGTCAGTTATTCACTTGTAGAGGGGACGATTGGACGGAACACTTCGATGGACAGCTTGACTGGTGTCCAGCTATTTTGTGGCCCACTATCCAGTTGAAACCCGAATGGGACATCGAGATAGGACCCCTAACACTTACAAAACTCAAGAAAGCTGTAGGTAACCTGAAACGAGGTAAAGCAGTAGGGCCAGGGGGCCACTTTCAAAGGTATTTAAGGACGGTGGTCAAGAATTCGCATGTGTCAACTGATGTGTTGGAGTCAGATGAGATCCCACCTGACTGGTCTCAATCACTGATTGTTACAGCCAGTCCTCCTGTTATAACCACAGCAGAACCAGTTCGACGAACATAGCGTCCAAGATTCCAGGTTTTATAATCGTCAGAGGTTTGAGTGGAGCAATCAATCAATATCAAAATAAAACCAGGGGTTACTGCGTAACAGTCCAATTTGCCACACCTCACCAGAACAAGCGAAAAAGCACAATGACGGGAGATAAAATAAAGAACTGGTCAAAATCAGTAGGATGTAGTAAAAGAGGAATGAGGAAATGCTGAATTCAGTAAAACGGTTGAAGTGCGGATACATCTGCGCCATCAAAAACGGTTGTAGGTCTAGTCTCCAGCCATTTGTCGAAGAGTGAAACAATCAGTGACTGAGACCAAACGAATGGGATCAGACCAGACTCCCACACACTAGTTAACAGTCAAGTTAAAGCCTAACAATTTTCTATCACCATCCTAAATACATCTGGTACTAGTCTATGTCCCCAGAACAGCATACCACGAGATCGTTGATTATGTTTTAAACGCTGAAGTATGGGAAAAGCAAGATGGAAGGTGAGACCTTGAGAGCCACCTTATAACAGTGACTGTACTCCATAGTTTAGGACTGCCAAGAGTGCAGCACACGTTGTTAAAAGCGGTGATTAGGAATACAACACCTAAAGTGTGCTAAGTTAAATTTGGCAATCATCTCAAAGGTTAGACTTGACCTTTAGATATTTCAGATCACAACCAGTTTTCGATTGTTAAGACTATGATTACTCCCCACTACATAGCAAAAGATTATTAGTTTAATTACTTGAAATGACTTGTTTAGCAGACTTGTGTTGATAGTGGGTGACTGGTGAAATAATTGGGCCGTGGCAGGATTTAAACCAATGACCACTGGATTTCTGACCCAGTACTTTACTACTTGATCTACAAGACACGATTGCCAGATATTTATTTCACTTCAATTATCACCCAGTATCAATACAAATCTGCTGAACCACGAATCAGTCAAACTGATAATCAGAATGATGCCCCCCCCACGCCTCCATAGTCCAACTAAACTTGCATTGGGATGAGAAGTCCTGACTGGATGACCATTATGAGTACGATCAAATGATGGCAATGCATGAATTCACGTGACAGTCAGGCAAAAATCCTCGGTGACTAAAGTGGAAAAAACCAGGTCAGCAGTCAGGTATCGTCAGAAAGGCAGGTCGACACAAAATTTACCTAAAACCTCACTCAAAAATGCAGCGGCTGAAGTTATCACACCATATATTGGTATACGAGGAACAAGTAGACAGAAAAAGTGATGTCAAAGCAGATAAAGTTGTGAGAATAAGCAATTTAGAGATAATGATTAGTGCGAATATCCAAGCCATAAAAGATGCTAAGGAGCAAATAAACTCTTGTCACTGCGACCGATTTTCAACCATATCAACAAGAGTCCGCAACCACTGATTCCTTTCGTTTCGAACACTTGAAGTGAGAACTGCTGGGCTTATACCGAACTGTAACACCTGGGTTGATCAAAACAACACCAGAAAGTTCTTGATTCTACCAACTAACAACGGGAACTAACCCCGTAATCGTCGAGCTTCCTGTAGCATGTCATATATAAAGGAATTAAGCCAAGGTCACCCATGGAGTTTCCACAAGTTGTAATACACAACTCACCTAGCTTGGTCCTCCATAAACACACCCTCCTTTTCAAGTTGCATAAATAATTCACCTCCAGCTAAGAACTCCAGCACTAGGTACAACTTCCCAGGAGATTGGAAAGCATAATGTAACTGTACAAGGAATGGATGCTGCCGAATAAACATGAGATTTCACACTTACCTTGATCATTTCCAGTATATTTCTCTCACTTTTAGTGTGAGCTGTATCTTTCGCGTTCGTGACAATTGATGCCTTTTTTAGGACCTTCATAGCATAAGTCTGGCCCGTATCATTTTTTCTTGCCAAAAAACCTTAAGCGCTGTCAATCAAACGAAATGCGATACTTTTCCGTAGCCTCCTTTCCCAAGTACTTTCAGAAGCTGAAAATCATGAGGCCTAACCTTAGGCTGACCGGGATTCACTGTTTCTTCACAGATTTCAACAGTTTTCATGTCTTCATTAAGTCTACAGTGGTAAGAATACTACTTCCTAGCCTTACTCTTCTGGTTTTAATGGACCGCGTTCAAGAAACTCATCCTGTAAACAGCAGCAATGTTCACTATCTGAATTTCTCACCTCAACACCACCATTTACTGGGAGGAAGTCATGAGAATTCTCTTCACTATCATCATAATTAGGAGCGTCTGGCATATCCAAATGAAATACACCTGAACTTGTCATTTTTGTACAATCCACATTACGATCGAATCAATTTTAATTAAGGCCACGTTAATAATATTACACCTAGATAAACAAAATAAAGGAAAATAGTTCAAGTGGACAAGTCTTGTGTCTTACACAATCAAAAAGTGATTTTAAGAAAACATTTCTACAAAAAGCAGCGGATGCAATCTGTGTTTGATATCATCCTAACTACTGCAGCTCACAGTTTTCAACCCATGTCAAGTATTTTGTGCGTGAAATTTCAATTCTGAACATGAAAAGACCAATAAAAACTAACCGATTCTTCAGGTAAGCAATGTTCTAAGGACTGACGCTTTGCCAGAAACCCTTCACAGTAGATGCACGCCAGAAGACTGATATCAAAAGGATAGTGGCATTTTCAGTGTTAATATATATATTCTATGCATTGGTTCAGTAGTTGCCTTAACACACATAAGTATACCTGGCTCTACATATTTGCAGTATCAGAGAACGTCAATGTGTCTTTTGGCAGGAATGGCAGACTTTGCTGTATCCATAGGATGTTAGTTATGGTCATAATCTTATTGCCTTTACAACCTATCTAGCCCTCTTGAGATTACTACATGTTGCTGAAAAAACCATTCGCTGGTGTTTGACATTTGACCCCCTGCTTTAGGACTTTAAGCAAGTGTCAGATGGATCGAGAACTATTAAGGTCTAGATCTGATCTTCTAAGACTACCCAAACTGATTATACTACGAAAAAGCTGCGTCGTGTCAAGCGGTTCAAATAGTTCACATAGTAATCATCGGAATAGAAACTTTTGCTTAGCTGGCTTCCGTGTCTAGAATCCTTTAATCACTATTTCCTGTAGTTGTTAACCTGCCCACAAGTAGGAAAAGCAAAAGGTGAAGGTTAAAATATGAACGCCAGTTCAGTTATGAGTGAGATCCCGCCCACATTCTAAGTATGCACAGACTTGGCGTTTAAAGGAATCATACGTAGTAGCCTGTACCACGTCTGCAAAACCAACATTCGAAGGTTTCTCTGACATGTCTGAATAACTGCTGCCACCTATCACCACTGCCTCTTACATCTCTTTCCCATCTCATCCCCACCTTTGTTCGCGGTCATCGCACAGACATTTCTCGTTTGCGTCTGAGTTGCATTGGTTCATTAGGCTCGGAGTCTGCAGGGACGCGTTCGTGCACATCCATTATTTCAGAAGTTGCTGAAATCTACTGGATCCTTTTAGGTATTTTCCAAGAGTTAGCTACGGTCTTCAACACTTTTTTTTACAGCAGAATAATTTGGAGCGCGGTTTTAGGAGACCAAAAGTGCTGTTCTGTGAACTCAGATTGTTGTGGAGGGCTGCAGGGCTGGAAGAAATTGAAAATCTGGGCTAATTGGTTAGAAGATTGGAATTTAAAGATACGAGAGGTTTATGGCAACCTAAGGGAGCTTGAGTGCTGACAGAGTTGTGACGGCGGTTGACACTTGCCGGCTGCCTGCACCGTGGAAAGTTACTTCTTCCTAGGCTACCTGAAAAAGATTGTGACTGCAGAGCCCATACGACATCTGCTTGTGGTCTGTCACATATACCCTTTTGCTGATTTTTGTTTTGAGATTTGGTTGTTCTAACACCTGTCAAAGGGAACCCATACCGCCGGAGCCGAGAAACCATGGACTAGGGTGTGGTGTGCTCTTTCGGGACTGGCGTTTCTTGACCTCACCTTCCCGAGAGGAAGACGGGATCGCCGTGGCACTGTCGGTCATTTAAGGGAAACACCTTGCTCCCGTCACTTCCCAGCCAGCAGCAGTACGACTTCATCCTCGGACTTTCGTCAGTCTAGCGATTTACACTGTAACGCTAACTGCTTTTAGTTTTACCACTGTCCACCGGACCTGTTATTATCTACGGTATATACAACGATAGTGCTCCGACGCGATACGATTAACGATAGAACAATGACTTCCCAACTCGATATTCAGCTGATACCAGAAGAAGACGATGATATTGAAAGTATATTTGCTTCAACCGAAAAATTAGTCGTTTATGTATCCTCAGATGGCCTTGTCCAGCGTCAGCGTTTGTTATCCTGAATTGCAGTAAAAACAGGTAACATCGCATGGCGTAAGAAGGTGCGAAAGTGAGGCTTAAATTCTACAGTGATAATATATACATAAGTAAGTTATTCTTAGGGATTAGGCATGCCTAACACTTTCTGTCATTGTAGAACCTTGAGTGAACAAGTTTTCCGGCCAGTATGGCTCGTAGGGTCACTGTGATATTTTCAAGTCCGACCACCACGTTAAGGTAGCAGCCATCGACCAGGTCTGAGTGGAGCTTGGAAACAGCAAACCGGAGAAAACCAGACAGGCCTCAGACCTGACCCTGGGTGTATTGACCACATATTTACACCGCCAGGTCATGGAATGCAGGTGTGCCGACGCTCTACACTGGCTGTTTTTTTGCCTACGTTTTTGGCCGGTGTGAGCTGAATTCACGTGAGCGTGTGCGCTTCTCTCTTTTCTTGTTGCCGTCAATTTGCGGAACCCTGCGGCTGTACTTATGGCTCCTTGTTCAGTTTCGTGCACTGTTCGTTTTGTGGATCTACCTCATCATTTGAACTGGGAGTTGTAAATTTCATATTGGCAGTCATGTTGTTTGACATGAGCAGGTAAGCGAGTTACTGCATTCGTGTTATGCACTACCTGCTCGGTTGCGTAAGGAAGTGCATAATTTTTGGTAACATGCCTAAGCTGCTGTTCAAGGATGCGAACCGAATGCAGTGATGCAATATGTATAGAGACCGACAACTTTATCAAGTTAATGAATAGAAAGTTTGGTGGTATGCCACGTAGGACAGCCGGAACCTCGCTCGCTCGCTAGTTTTTCAGTGCTTGCTGCGGGACACGAAGATCTTTTTGAATACTCGATGTTGCTAGCAGCGCTCGATCCTCTATAGGCTTCAGAATTGCTGGAGGCATACCGTATTTTTGGGTCTGCTGACAACTTCCGTGGACTAGTGAGCTTTTTGACGACACCAAGACAGGCTAGATGCATGTATTAGGGGAGGAGGCATGTCATCATGTCTGTGTCCAGTTTCTCAAAAGATGAATGGGCTTTATGGTGAGCTTTATCCTCTTGCATAAGGAACGATATGTCTGATCGGAGTTCCTGCTCCCTGACGGGAAAAACCATACGGGAACACCCCCTATGGCATTCAACTCCACACTTGTCACAACCCTTCTTCGATGTATGGCTGGATATCGTTTTAATTAATGAGAAGGCAGGATGTCGCATATCAGAGCCATCAAATTCACGTAAACTAAGTGGTTTAAGGCGTCCACTGAAACACCTTCCTTTAAAATTTCTGACAACTCCATAATACCTTCGCCGAGGTCTCGCACTACACTACTCAGTTAGATGAAGCCACCATATATTTATTTTATCCGTCCTTTAGGTTCCTAGTGGAACATAGGGCTTCAGTAGCACTTCGACGCTTCACTCTCCTCGCTGCTGTCTTTTGGGTCTGGCTCCACGACTGACCAGAAACTTTCATTTCTTCCTCAACCGATCTCCATGTCACCCTAGGACGCCCCTTTGAGCCCCACTCGACAGCTTCGCCCGGCCCGTCGCGTCATATCCCCAAATGACCTCAACGTATACCCAATCCAATCTATCTCCACTTGCTTCTTCTGAACATTTCTTGGGAGAAGAGTTTTTGGTTTGTTCGTCGCCGGGCCTAAGTCCCCTGTTGCTTACTCCTTCTGGTCATCAGGCATTCAGCATGGAGCGCTGATGAATGCCTGTAGTTTGTTGGCAATGCCTTTCGTAAGGCGCCAAGTTTCTGAACCATATAGAAGCACTGACCTGATTGAATTAGTGTTGGAAATCCGGATCCTGTTCACACTTTACGCTGAGTGCAGTAGGTCTCCACACTGGTTTCAGGTTAATAAAAACCTGTTCTACTGTGTTTCCGATCCTGGCTACTTTGACATCCTCATCTGTGCCGCCTGTGGTTGAAACGATGCTGCCTAGGTGGTAGGTGAAAGAGACAACTTCCTTTAAGTTTCTTCCGTTAATGGTGATTAGTGCTTGTTGTTGATGCTGTTGTTGGTTGGGTATCTCCATCACCTCCGTCTTCTCTACGTTCACTTGAAGTCCTGTTTTCGCTACCTCTTCTGTTAACTTGTTAGTTTTCACCTTTAGACCTTCGAATTTACGCTACATTAGACATAAATCATCATCACGGGTGAAATCCAAATCTTCTAGGGTCTTTTCATCGGTCCAGCGTATGGCCATCCTCTCGCTCCTCACAGTCGTCTGTTGCATGATCCAGTCCAGTCCAGTCGACCACAATCGGGAAGATCATGAGTGATAGTAGGTAGCAACCTTGTCCTACTCGTTTTTTCACTTCAAGGCATCGCTGAGCTTTGCATTGTGAATCACTTGGCATATAGCATCGTATAACATATAGCTGTTGAATGAGGTTGATAAAGGTTTATGGCACTAAGACCGTAGTGTTGAAGCAACTGCCAGATTACTTCTTGGTCGACGCTGTCGAAGGCCTTTTCAAAGTCGATGAAGTCTAGGTAGAGAGTTGACTGCCATTCTATGC